TTTTCTGGTTTGGTCCATTAAATTTTGAAAATTTGTTGTGATCACCCTGTATCCTACTGGCACAAAAATTCGTACATTAGGGTTTTAGACCATTCTAAACAAGAATCTGCTATCAGATTTTTTCTAAAAAAATCCCTAATAGTACTTATTGAAATTCGAGCCTATAAATGTGGACACCCTGTAAACCAGTGCAGCTGTAGAAATAAAAATTATGAGCTTAATAAGTGCCAAATTCAAGTAGCTACAAGAAAAAAAAAATTAATTGAATCGGTTGAAAAATAACAATTTTAGAAGGGTGGTCAGTCCTTAAGCGGGACACACTGTATATTTCAACTGATTTTAAATGATTCGTTCGATTATTATTTCCTTTCCTTCCTTCCTTTCCGTATGTTTACATCACATGAATAGGTATATCATGATGTACCAATACACTGACTTTTTTTACCTAGTTTATCATCATATATATACAGACCGGACCATCCTACTAGACACATAGGGAGTATTAAGACGAATTAGCTTGTACCCGGTTAAGGCGAATCGAATCGGTGCTGCCCACTGGCGTTGCCAAGGAGGGGGACAAAGGGGCATTTGCCCCCTTCCCCCAAAGGCTTTAAAATTTTATTATTATTATAAAGAATTCAATTCAAAATTAAAATAAACAAAAAAATCAATTCAATTCCTAGGTAAATAATCAAAAACATACATAGGTATATTATAAATACATATAAGTAACGTTCTACTATAAATTATTATTAAAATTGGGTAAAATGGCCGCATCCCCGCTAGCCCCTCTTCACCATTAGAAGTCCCAAAAATACCGTAAAAAGACCCATAAATTTCGCGTTATCAAAATTTGTTAAAATGGCCACATCCCCGCTTGTCTCTCCACCCCTCCATTAGAAGTCCCAAAAATACCATAAAACCCAAAAATACCATAAAATCCAAAAATGGGTACCTGTCAACTGGTCCCATTCAAGCCTATGTGTCTAGTAGCCTAGTTCTGTCTGTGTAATTAATTCTACTTATGTTATTTTTGGAGCCCGAGCCCCCATAGAAATTTCGAAATTACGGCGCCTATGCCGGCGGTTGTCGGAAAATTGAAAAATCTTATGCTACTCGCTTTGGTTTATTTTGCACAATCTTGCACACTCCTCTGGGGAAAGTTATGAGGCATTAAAAATTTGTACTTTCCCTCCCGTTTGTCGAAAAATTGAAATAGTTATTTTATTATGCTACTCGTTCCGGCTAATTTTGCACACCCATTTTCAAATTTTGTTCACGCTTCTGGGGAAAGTTATAAGGTACATATATCCTATCCACAATCCGTAGTCCAGAGGTGAAGGTAAATTCATCACCATTCCATATCAAATAGCACTGAAAGGTGATAAATTTTACCTTTATCTTTGGACATCGGGTTGTGAATAGATAATCAATAATTTGCATTTTCCCCCCCGTTTTTCAAAAAATTAATATAACCTCAATGCTATAAGGTTGACCTAATTTTGCACAATTTTGCACACCTATTTTCAAATTTTGCACACTCTTCTGGGAAAAGTTATGAGGTGTGATAAATGTACACTTTTTTCCCCGTTTATCTGAAACTTGAAAAAATTCTTATGCTACTCGCTTCGGCTAATTTTGCACACCTTGTTTTTAAATTTTACACATTCCTCTGGGAGTTAAATGTTATATTAAAAATTTGCACGTTTTTCCCTGTTTGTCAAAAAAATTGAAAAACTCCCGCTACTGGGTTCACTCAATTTTGCACGCCTATTTTCAACCCGAATTGAGTAACATAAGAATTTTTCATTTTCTCAAAAAACTGGCGGAAAAGTGCACATTTTGCAAAATTTGAAAATAGGTGTGCAATGTTGTGCAAAATTGGGTGAACCCAGTAGCATAAGGATTTATCAACTTTTTGAATAACGAGGGGGGGAGACATGTATAGGATCTTTCAATTTTTCGACAAACAGGGGGGAAGTGCAAATTTTCAATGCCTTATAACTTTCCCCAAAAACTTGCGCAAAATTGTGCAAAATTAGCCAAAGCGAGTATCATAAGATTTTTCAATTTTTCGACAAACGGCGGGGATAGTGCAAATTTTTAATACCTCATATAGTTTTTTTTTTTTTTTTTAAGATAAAAGTCAAAATGACATTATGTCGGCAATGCAATGTAAAATTGTCAATGGTTTCAAATTTTTTATGTAGAAAAGGCTTGTGCTGCCAACATAGTTATTGAATTTTTGACTTGGGGAATTATTTAAAAAATAAAAACATACTTACTTTAACTTTCCCCAGAAAAGTGTGCAAAATTTGAAAATAGGCATGCAAAATTGTGCAAATTTAGGTGAACCGAGAAGCATAAGAATTTTTCAAGTTTTAGACAAACAAGGGGGAACGGTCAAGTTTGCTCCCAGACTCCCAGTTTTAAAAAAAATCCTGTGCAGTTCACACCCGGTAGAAGTGAAACCTTCATCGAACTGCATGCTTTACACACATACTAACATACACAGTGGCGTCCCCCCTCTCCAAAAGACTTGAGAAAGAACGCAAATAAATATAGTTTAAAAAAACTAAAATACACGCTGGGGTTCTTTGTTCCGCATTTCTTATACATTGAGCACCCCTCGCTTTTTTGACAATAATTCTAATATTTTTTGTTCAATAATATTTTCTTTTATATTAGAAATTTTTTTTCACCTTTTAGTTCAATTTACTATAAAAGCGTGTTTTTTCGTTTTTTCAAAATATATTTATTTTTCACTTTTTAGTTCGATGTATTATAAAAGCGTATCAGCCCCAGAGATTTCCATACTTTTCCAGACATTATCCAGACTTATTCAGAGCTTTCCAGATTTCATCCAGATTTATCCAGACTTGTACAGACTGATCCGGATTCTGGAAAATGATCCCCAGGTCTTTTGGGACCTTTTCCAGAATTTTTCCTACACTTTCAAGAAATTTCCAGGCCTTTTGCAGACGTTTCTAGAGATTTCCAGACATTATGCAGACTTATCCAGAGCTTTCCAGAGTTTTCTAGACTTTATCGAGATTAATCCAGACTTTATTTAGACTTGTTCAGACTGATCCGGATTCTGGAAAATGATCCCCAGGTCCTTTGGGACGTTTTCCAGAATTTTTCCAACCCTTCCCAGAAATTTTCCTTTCCAGACTTTTCCAGAGAATATCCAGAGTTTTACAGACTTTATCCAGATTTATCCAGACCTTATCCAGACTTGTACAGACTGATCCGGATTCTGGAAAATGATCCCTAGGTCTTTTGGGACCTTTGGCAGAATTTTTCCGACCCTTTCCAGAAATTTCCAGGCTCTTTCCAGACGTTTCCAGAGATTTCCAGAGCTTTCCAGAGTTTTCCAGATTTCATCCAGTAGATTAATCCAGACTTTATCCAGACTTGTTGAGACTGATCCGGATTCTGGAAAATAATTCCCAGGTCTTTTGGGACCTTTTTTTAGAATTTCTCCAACCCTTTCCAGAAATTTCCGAGCTTTTTCCAGACGTTTCCAGAGATTTCCAGACTTTTCCAGACAATAACTAGACTTTTCCAGAGTTTTACAGACTTTATCCAGATTTATCCAGACCTTATCCAGACTTGTACAGACTGATCCGGATTCTGGAAAATGATCCCCAGGTCTTTTGGGACCTTTGGCAGAACTTTTCCGACCCTTTCCAGAAATTTCCAGGCTCTTTCCAGACGTTTCCAGAGATTTTCAGACTTTTCCAGACTTCATTCAGATTTATCCAGACTTGTTCCAGCTCACTTGGCTTGTTCCAGGTTCTTGTTGTGTGTTGTGTGTTAATATAAGCGTGTTAAAAAAGTGTTGCTATTTCGTTTCGTTTCATCGGGCCGCTTTTTCGTTTCATCGAGTCTCAAATCACTCCCAACTATTCTAAAGAAGTTTTCACTTCAGAACTGCTCTAGTTTTCGTTGTGTTGTGTGGGTGTGCAATATTTTAGTCATAGTGTCCAAAATTATTATGGTTTATTTATTTTTGAAATTTGTTTAATACGGGCGGAAACTTGACCAACCCCAAAATTTACTTGTTGGTAAATAAACCGATCTACTGGAAAATAAATAAATAATTCATATTTCGAAATTAAAAATAAATTTCTAAGTGGCAAATTCGCCAAATAGGTATACTGAAAAAACCTAAAGAAAATGATGGATCCATCTATGATATTCGTTGGTAAATTATAAAATATGTTAGAAAATATATGATTAACTTCCTAATTCCTCTTGGCACGCGTCTGTCTCCTTATGCATGCAAAGCAAAAATTTTACTCTAATAACTTCATTCAGAGAAGTGGACACGGACGCTGGCTCGCTGGCTGGACCCCGAATCAACAGCTCTGACAACTCGGCAACAGTGGGCAATAGACTCGAGCCGGCGTCCACACCGGCAAAAGCCGGCGTCCATCGAGGTATCAAAAATAAGAATACGGACGAGACTTCTAGAGACGTTAGTCTATAATATTCTTTGGTAGAATCCAAATATGCAATCATATACAGGATATTCCATTTAAAATAGCGACATTGCCACTGGTTTAGAGTAGAAGCGGCAACACCGCATAAACAAAAATATTTTTAAAGTGTAGATGGTCGTTTATCTCGGTTGCCAAATTTTCAATATGATCGGCTTTTTAGTTCTCCATAAACATCTAATACGCCATCCACTGTGGGACACCCTATTTATTATACACACCCGTGCTAGCACAGTACCGTTCTCTCATGCTTACGCATTAACTTTGTATCTTTGTTACTCACGCTAGTTTATAGTTAATCACTTATCTTTCTCTCCTGCGCACAGACTCGTTGCCTGTGTTCCCCCTCTCCAACAGGGTAAAGACTGAAAGTTAAACGGACTTCTCTTTCTCTCCTCCCCAAAAGCGTTAAATTTGAACGTTAAACGTCCGAACTCCTATGAAGTTTTCACTTAGAAAAAAAAAATAGACATATATACAGTTGAATACTTTTAATTAAAACGTCTTTAAACATTGCATTACAATATTCCTTAATTTAGTCCTCAAAGCTTCATCGCCGTTACACACGACATGAGTATTGTTGTCTTCTAGCTGAATCAGTGCATCTTCATCTTGCTATTCAGAAATTTTTCGATTAAATATTTTTGATAATTGAACATTTTGCCACTTACCAAATGAATAACAACAACACTTCCTCCCAAAGATTCCACTTTAGCATCTTTAATGCCTTCTTGAAACAACTTATTCTTAAATTCATTTATATTAACCGATCCCCATTCGTACTTTACATTTTGGTTCAGCAATTGTTCTTCTGATGAGATATCGCGCACTTTATGCATGTTATCCTTAACACTCAATGTTCCCGTGATAGTGGACAGACTAATTCCAGGTTTAACTTCGACTGGTGCAATTTTTTGGGCAACATCTTTCTCTATAAACACTTGGCCTTGTTTGCGTTTCAATGGCAAATTTATCACTTCGCCCCATTTATATGGGATTAAATTAATATCTGGACTACTATGTATAACTAGTTCCGTTAAGTTTGGAGCCGATACAGGTGGTTTAGTGTAACAATCTGGTACAACCAGTGTAGTTGGTTTTAAGTCCCTAATTAATTTGTTGGCCTGAGTAAAGTTTAGAGATGTGTCTATTGCACAATGGGCTATTTTCATTTGCAAGGGCTGATAAGGAGCAAGAGCTTCGATATAGTCATAATCAGGTTCTAAAATAATACGTAGATAAAAATAATGAAACAAATATTTTTTTTTAACAGCTACCTGTAAATACTATACAATTTTTTGGATTATTGCCCCATAACTCAATAAATTGTACCACATCTCCAAATCTGAGACTAGGATGGCCACAAAATACTATACATGGCTAAAAATATTGTAAATGTGAAGAAAAAAACAGGAAAAAAAAATACAAGGACAACTTACCTCTTGAAAATCTGTGCTAAAACCGTCCGAATAAATATGCTTAAAATGTTTCATTTTAGAATTCTTAACTAACATAGCGTGCGGAAAAGGTTCGTCTGGTACGTAAACTTTATTTTGTTTGGCTGTGCTCAACCATTCAGCCAAAATGTTCGAATATGCCAATGAAGTATCTGCCACGGGGGATATAAAAAACATTGGACAATTGGAAACTCCTAATTCTTGCATTTTCACCGATAAACATTCAAATAAATCATAAACTACTCCTGTTGGATAGCACGGTATCAAAACGTTTCCACCTCCTCTTAATGTCAAGCCTAGAATATTTACATTTATTAAATAGTTAGTATTTAGGGTGATAGATGATCGCTCATTAAACCTGTTTTTTCAGCTCTTACTAATCAAAATTATTAAAAACAAATACATAGTTATAAATCGTGTCTTACCAACTACAGCACATAACATCCCCAACATAGAATCTGGATTGCTGATGGGAGTTTGAGTTAAATCAGTCATAATAAATACGTCAGCATTTCTTAAATTAGTATAATCTATAGGTTTAGGATGCGTCGTCAAAGTACTGGAGCCACTCAAATAAACAATTTTTTCATGATCTGAAGAAATCACCCAGTTTGCTGAACCTAAACAATATCCCGAACTTGCTGGGATAACTTGTAGTGCCCCATAAACATCCTAAGCATAGAATAATTAATTTTTCTGCAATTTATTTCAAAAATAAACTTACTATTTTTTCACTATATCCAACCATTTGTATTCTGAATAAACTGGCATTCACGCTGCTCATATTGTAAATTTGCTTCCAGGATTTGGGCATGAATGCATCTTTCAAAGGAAGAGGACATTTATGGACAAAATTTTTCCATTGAGTTGCTAAAGATGACTTCGGGCATTGTTCAATGTAAATTACTAATTCTTCTAATAAAAGCCTAGAGAAATTTTTTCAACAGATAATGCAAATAAATGAAATAGGATCAAAATGCTACCTGCCAATGTGTAGAGTAGGTTCTGTGGCATACACTCTCCCTTGAAATCCTGTACCTTCTGTAATATAAGGCAGAGCCATCATGCACAAGTAATTTGAAATTAATATAACATCAACTTGAGAAAAATCAATTAGTTTGTCTAGAGGTGGAGAAAACTCTGGAGGAGAATCAACAAATATTCTTTCTCCAGTTTCTTTCAATTCCTTAAAAAAATAATTAACTTAAATATGATTAACAAGACAACTGTAAAATTACTTACGCCTTCTAAATCTGGATCCGAAACATCAGGAGGCATAAAATTGCTCAAATTGAGCAATCGATTCGATGGTACAAACGATAAAGGTAAGAAATGTAAAAGCGACTGCATAGAGAGACCGCAATCCAGCATGAATGTTATTTCTCGAAATGTGAGAACGTGACATGGCTTGTTGGGATCGTTACTCAAACAATACTAAAAATTATCAAAGTAGAATATTGCTTGTGTCTTCGGTATTGATTTATGAGGTTTAGAAGTTTATGGATTCGAATTCAAAATCTCTTTATTCTATCGCGAATGGTAAATTATCATTTTATCGACCCAAAACTCATTGTCAAAGTAACACTTTATTGGAAATAGTGAAATCGAACAATTTTTACCCACTCATATGTCAATTTTACCCAATCATATGTCAATTTTACCTACTCAAACGTGAATTTTACCCACTCAATACTTGATGGTCATTTATTTCAAAACTAAGTAAAACAAAACGTACTTTGCTTAGCTGTAAATTTATAAAATATTAGGTACCTTCACAAAAAGATAGGTATCATCCGAAGCTTCTCTCAAAACACGAAGAATATTTTTTGGTTATTTCCCCAAAAAATTATTCCATATTTGAATACTGACTCAAAATTTGCGAAGTATAATGTCCTTGGAGTCTGGGTTATTTAAATGTCGTGATGCAGTTCTGATGGCAAAACATATTCATTTTTTTTGATAGTATTTGTGTATGTTCGTAGTAGTTCAAAAATTTGTCTATATGTACTCCTAAGAACTTTGCGGAGTTTGCTGTTTCAAAACTATCTGATTGAAGGTTCAATGAACTAATTTTTTCTTTTTGTAAGTGTGTTGTATCAAATAATACCAATTTAGTTTTTTTTTTTCATTGAGAATTAATTTATTTTCATCGAACCAGGATTTTGTTCTAGATAATATTGCATTTGCTTTATGTTGAATATCTTGTGCAGTTGTAGCCCCAGTCAATAGGTTGGTGTCATCAGCATAATTTACCATACTTTCCTCTTCATTTTGCATATTTTTGCATAAGTCATTCAAGTAAATAACAAACAGTATTGGACCCAGTACACTGCCTTGGGCAACTCCCACATCACTTGTTAAAATTTTTGATTTTTTGGTATCATTTCCGTCTGCAATGATTACACGATGGGTTCTGTTTGAGAGAATATATCCATTTATTTGCATTACCCCTGATTCCATACATCACAAGTTTCTCTCATATGTACTCTATACATATGGAATCATATGCTTTGGTTAGATCCAAAAATATGCCCAGAGCCATTTTGTTTCCCTCAAGAAGTGACAAGATACCCTGAGAGAACTGAAAGATCGCGGTTTGTGTTGATCGCCCCTGTAGATATCCATGTTGATTGTCTGTGAATAATTTATTCTGATGGAAATATTTTAGTATCCGTGAACAAACTATGATTTCAAATACTTTGGAGAAGCTGGGTAATAAGCTTATGGGCCTGTAACTTTCTACTTTGTTTGGTTCTCCACTTTTGAATATAGGCTTGATAAGGACAATTTTTAAAGGTTCAGGGAATATACCAAACTTCATAGAATTGTTTATTATGTACGATAGTGAGGAAAACCACCTATTTAAAATATTATTTCTTTAAATCTTAACTTTTTAAAAAAACGTTTACTGAATAAAAGTAAATATTGCAACCATGTACTGCGCCACGAAGTTTAGATTTAGGGGAAAACGAGGGTACCGAACCGTACGGGAAGTAGAGAGGAAGCGATTAGGCATTAGACTAGATAATGGAGCAGAGTTCAAAAATGCTATAATGACAGATCTTTGTACCATCGTCACCAAAAGTATCTGGGACACAAATAATGCATAATAATCTCCTGGACTAATTCGACTGTCATTCATTCCAATGCATTTAAATCATAGTTTGACAAATATTTGACAATAAAATTCCTATAATAGGAAAAGAGCTAATGTGCTACTGTCCCACTTACTTTTGGTGACGATGGTACATTATACAAAATTGAGTTTCATTACACAACTCCAAGAAACCCGAACTCGAATAGTCCAATCGAAAGATTCCATTCGACACTACGTGAAAGTATAATGAGTTTAAAACTCCAAAACCCGAATAAGAGTATCATTGATCTAATGACAATCGCTATATTGAATTATAACAACAGTACTCATAGTACAATGAATCACACCCCTTTTCAAGTGATTAAAGGAGATTTGAATTATGCCATACCGATTGAACAAACGGAAAATAAACTAACAACTGACTGACTATATAACAAGTTTGGCAGAATCCCTTGCGAATTTGAATAAAGAAATTCAAGAAAAATTATTAGCGAAACAAACAAAGTCTTTAGAATCACGAAATAAAAATCGTGAACCTGAACCAGCATTACAAGATCCAATCTTTGTAAAACAATTTAATAGAGACAAGATAAGTCCGTGTTTTGACAGCAAAACACAGAATCGCTTTGCTTAACAAAATGTTAAACGACAATAATTTATTTCAGGTACTCCGAGATGAATCCATTAGTATTCCTAACTCTCGTTGGAGTCACCCAAGCGTATATATTGATGACGGTAGAAAATAATATTTTACCAATTTCTTTAGGAACTACTTACGTAACAACTCAACATAACACGGCCTATTATCACATAAACACGACAATTATCATACAAAGTATCCATAAACTGGAAATTACCTTAATGAAATTGGGCTGGTCCCTTTAGATTGCTTTAGACCCGTGTCTGTAATTATTCATTAGTCAATTTTTATCTGGATTTTTGTTTTTATTTTGCATTAAATTGATTGTTCATTCCAATTTGTTATAAATGTGTATGCCAAGGAGCGATCACCAGGTCAGTTGAATAATTGTTATTGAGAGTTCAATTATTTATACAAGTATAATTTTTTTCCATTTTTATGTTTTTTTTTGTTTGTTTATAACAGTTTTTATAACATGTGCATTATTCATGTATTTAACAAAAATCGTTTCATGCTGTAAAAAACACAGATAAAGAGTAAATTAAAACCTAGACAAATTATGTTCTGTCTTTTTGTGCTGGGATTATGATTTTTGGATTTAGAGCGTTTTTTAGGGCCTAGTTGAATTCATTAACATTTTCCTACCCTGACGAGAGAACATCCTAGCAAATTGGGACCTCAGTACCTGCTAGGAAACTGGCTAACTAACCAAAAAACTCTTCAGTATTGAATATAGGTAGTGTTGATTGAATGTTGTGTGTAATTAGAATTTTAGCACAAGAACAGGGCGGTACCTAGTTTCAACTTTTATTGAATTAATGACTCACAATTATTATTAAAATGACACAGTGACTCACAATTATTATTAAAATGACACAGTATGTTTCGATTTTTGAGGAATGTTAGATCGAGGGTTTCTCTGCCGTACTCTTTCCCCTCGTTAGTTCCAGGATGAGAACGGTACGATTTACTTTCATAATAAAGTAGACGTTTCACAAATTTTCGTTTCTTTTAAAAATCACAACTTCCCTTATATTTCCCAAATATTTGCTATGTCGGGCGCATGTCCAGTAAGTAAAATTGAGTAAGTTTCCACAACGTAGGTCCTATTTGTTTTTTTATTTCATTTTTCAGAAGATTTGTTGTTTAAAAGGTAATAAAAATTCTCATCGTCGAATCTTACTAAACGGACCCGCGTATTCATTTGAGAATTTTTGCCGGTCCTCACAATTTGCATACTCATATCATATTCGTCTAACTCCCGGTCTAGGTCCAAAAGTAACCACTTTTCCAGGAACCAGAGTAATTTGATTACTTTTGGACCACGAAACCACAACCCTGGTTATATTCAGACCACAGCCAAACTGTAAGGGCGAGTCCCCACGGGCGTAATTGACGTAAGAGTAACTAACCACGTGATTTAATTTGTGCGATTTCATTGGCGCCTGGTGCCAGTGCAGCCATCTTAAATTTTCAACATTACGCTGCCGCTACGCAAAAAGTTGGTTTTTTAGAACTTTTCGGCGTAATCGTGACGAAGTTGTGACGGTTGTTTTTGTTTTTTCTGATATATGATAGAACAATCACAGAAAACCAAAGGAAAAAGACTACAACAACAAGTTAGTAAAGTCTGTTTTTGTTTTAAAGATAATTCCCCCAAGTCAAAAATTTAGTAACTATGTTGGCAACACAAGCCTTTTCTGCAATAAAATTTGAAAGCATTGACAATTTTACATTATATTGCCAACATAATGTCATTTTGACTTTTATCTTTTGAGAAAAAACAGACTTTAAATTTTAATCACAACCTGGCAAAAAATATAAAAGAAAATGTTTTTCTTTTGGTTTTGATGCACTACACGCGGGATGTTACGCCAAAATTGGCAGTTGCCTTAGCCCTGGGTTCTGGCAGTAGCACGATCATGAACTTGAAGAAAAAAAGGGTTAACCGGATTTGCAATTATTTTCACTGTACAGGGTGTTTCAAATTCGAGCTACATCATTGGGATCTCGGAAACGGTGAGAGATACAGGGTTGGTTAAATTGGGGCAAAAGTTGCGTAATTTGATGCTTAACAAAATGCCGCTTTGATATTTAAGATATTCCGAATACTTACGGAGATATTCGGAAAAAAACGAAATTTTGCAAAATTGTTTTCATTTTTTCCTGACTATTTGAAGTGATATTTCAAAAAAAAATATCACTTCATCATAGCCACTTTTTCTCCCCTACAAGATACTACCATCAAATTTGAAATCTGACGTTTCGTCTTTGAGCCACCATCATCAACTTTATTTTTTTAAATACGATCCTGGATTTTTTATTTCAGATTTTAGGACCTTCTGATGTCCCAAAACCTATGACGTATCGCATTTATTCGAAAAAATATTTATTTTTTTTTTCTAGTAATTTCCTACCAAAATTCTCTTCTCTGTCTCTCTCTAAGACATTAAGTTCTTATGGAAAGTGCCAATAATATACATTTTTCGAATAAGTGCAATAGGTTATTGGTTTTGGGACGTCAGAAGCTTATAAAATCTAAAATAAAAAATAAGGGTCCGTATTTAAAAAAATGAAGTTGATGATGGTGGCCCAAAGACGAAACGTCAGATTTTAAATTTGATGCTAGCATCCTATAGGGAAAAAAAGTGGCTATGATGAAGTGAGATTTTCTTTTAAATATCTCTTCAAATAAAGTCAAGAAAAAATAGAAACAATTTTGCAAAATTTCGGGTTTTTCCAGATATCTCCGGAAGTATTTGGAATATCCTAAATATCAAAGCGGCATTTTGTTAAGCATCAAATTACGCAACTTTGCCCTAATTTAACCAATCCTGTATCTCTCACCGTTTCCGAGATCCCAATGATGTGGCTCGAATTTGAAACACCCTGTACAGGGTTATTGGTTATAAATGTCACCCCCCTCTATCTTTTTTATTTGACATGTTAGAAAAAAGTGTCCCAAATAAAAGTTTTATGGTTGAAATTAATTTTTTTGAAAAACTCCCTTTCGCATATACAGGGTGTTTCAGAAATGCTGGTCGTGCTCCAACTTTCTTATTTTAAATGGAACACCCTGTATATTATTGAATATTCGGATTCTACGTAATACCTAGTTATTTAAACAACAAGTTTTGAAAACGACTTTTTTCGCACGGCGAGACAGTTTTTTGAACCGAGCCGTAGGCGAGTTCCACAAGTCGAGCAAGTGTGAAAAAAGGTTTTCAAACGAGTTTTTTACAATGCTTTTCCTACAACTGCAAAATAAAACAACCAAATATGTAATTTTCATTTGTTAGAAAACTTGAAGCGTGTGAAAAACTTTTTCGCATGCTGTGCGAGAAACTCTAATTTCAGAGGTTGCCTAGCGTGCGAAAAACTCCATTTTCAGAGGCAGTCGTAGGAAAAATTCTGTGAAGATTTCATGTGATATACCCTATACCTAAGTTCAACTATTTTGGAAATATTGACAGTTGAACATTGACTTTTTTGCAACTTTGACAGGATGTGAAACCTAAACGGTTAATCTTAGAGCAAAACCGAACTTACATTTTTTTCTTAGATTTCCATAAGCTATGATTTGACACCAACTTTGAATTTAACCGGAGATAAAATTTAATTTGAATTTTTAATCATGGATTAAATTCAAAGTTGGTATGTCAAATATCAGTGTCAACTAATAGTTTATGAAAATCCAAGATAAAAACATAAGATCGGTTTTGCTCTAAAATTACCCGTTTAGGTTTTACAGCCTGTCAAAGTTGCAAAAAGTCAATTTTCAACCATCAATATTTCCAAAACAGTTGAACTTAAGTATAGGGCGAGGTATAGGGTATATCACATGAAATCTGCTCAAAATTTTATGTAGAATCCGAATATTCAATAATATACAGGGTATTATATTTAAAATAAGAAAGTTGGAGCGCGACCAGCTTTTCTAAAACACCCTGTATATGCGAAAGTAAGTTTTTCAAAAAATTTAATTTCAACCATAAAACTTTTATTTGGGACACTTTTTTCTAAAATGTCAAATAAAAAAGATAGAGGGGGGTGACATTTATAATCAATAACCCTGTACCTAATAACTATTTATTCACTTTTTTCGCGGAGACGTTCCCAAGCGTATCCTGAACGCTAAGGCATGACTTACACAAGTATTAAGGCCGAAACCCACTAGCAACACGCCATGTCATGCTTCGCCACGCCACGCCATGTGACGAAAATGTATGCGTATATTCTTCCATTTATTTATATGTGCCGCGTACACACTTGCCATACGCGATACCACGCCATGGCACGCCACGCCATCCGTCTATTTGCACACAAACTGTCCCACGTGAACCTGTGCCACATGGCGTGGCGTGTTGCTAGTGGGTTTCGGCCTTTAATTAACCTGCGGATAGTCGCGTTAAATTTTTTGAAGTGAGTAGTCGCATTGGTCTCACAGACCGTACAACTTAATCAAGCTCCAAATAAATAGCGAAATGTACTTTTCAAAAAATACATGTAGAGATGTTTTAACAAACATGATAGATGATTGAGAAAAAAAAATGATTACATTTGGCCAATTTTTCCAAATATACCACAAAATCTTTGAAAATTGTGCTTTTTTAATACTGCACTTTATTTAGTCACATACAGAAAATAAAAACAGGATATAATACGAAGAGTAAAATATAACTCTTTTACGAGCTATTTTACAATAAAAATAAGTTGAACAAACATGTTCAAAGTTAGTGAAGAATATTTTCTCAGCATTCCTGAAAAATTCCAATAATATGCTTTAAGCACATATACACCGTAGGACAAAATATTTTCGGCAAAACAACCACTTCCAACACTCCCATATTAGCACTGCCGTCGTGACCCGTTGGGAAGATACATAGAGGGGGAGGTGGGTCTTACCTTTATTTCCAGAATACCACGAAAAAAAGTGTATGGTCGGCAGGGACGTCTTAAGACTTCTTAAGGCCCTGGGCCTATATGTCAAAGGAAGCCCCTTACCTACACAGGGGGGGGTGCTCTAGGGCATACGACATGAATAAGTTAAAAAAAACTTTTGAAATATAAAAATGTAATGTATATATTGTGGAAAGAAAATAACAAATTACAGAGGTCGTTTTCTAGATTTTACAGAGGATAAAAAAATTCATGGATAAAAAAATTCTCATACCAATTTCATGTTTCCTCCCCATTTCTACTTCCTGTTTTTTTTAGTTTTTCAATATCTATGCTGATATAGGATTTGAAATGGTCACATTCCAAAATTATTTTATCGGCTTCTTTGTCATAAAATTGTGACAGTTTTATCGCTTTTCTTGAAATTTCAATTTTACTGAGGTCAGACATTTTTTCAAAAAAAACCGCTTCTTTCAAATATTTTGTTACCCGTTACCTTCAAGGAAAGTTACTTTGTCTTTTCACTCATGTCCTAATATCGCGGTACTCCTTTAAAACTAATTTTTCTCTGGATTTTGATTCATAAAAATCAAAATCGTCTCTTTTTCTCTTATATATGCCATTAATGATTTAATAGTTATTTACCTAACGAATGCGGAAAGTGATACTTTACCGCACGCAACGGCAGTTGATCGGTCAAGCCTTTAAGGGCGGTAAAGGTACTTTCGCATGTGTTTAGGTACAAAATTTTACCTATGAACATCTACATCTCCAAAACAAGGCATTAATAAAATTAATCAATAAATCATATCAATTAGATTTAGAAATGATCAAAAATCCATTTTCTGAAAAAGAAAGGATTTTTAATCTTAAATACCAAAGTCTACTTTACCGCATACTATGCGGTAAAGTTAACTTTACCTCACAGGGTAAAGTTACTTTACCGCATAGTGTGCGGTAAAGTTAACTTTACAGCATAGTGTTCGGTAAAGTGAACTACAAAGTGTACGGTAAAGTGCACTTTACCGCATAGTGTGCGGTAAAGTAGAATTTGATATTTATAATAAAAAATCCTTTCTTTTTCAGAAAATGGATTTTTGATAATTTCTAAATCTAATCTTATTTCATTAATTAATCTGATTCATTAATTAATTTTATTAATGCCTTTTTTTGTCGATGTGTAGATGCTCATAGGTAAAATTTTGTACCTAACACATGCGGAAAGTGCCTTTACTGCCCGTAACGGCTTGACCAAACTCCGCTTCGCGTTGTTCGGTCAACTGCCGTTGCGTGCGGTAAAGTATCACTTTCCGCATTCGTTAGGTAAATAACTTTTACAGTTATAGACAAATTTCAGTTTTCCTTTTGGACGAACAAATTTACTCTGTTAGTCCGAGTCAAAATATCATTCCAAAAAATAGTTAAGAAAGTAGTTTCTAAGTCATCCACCTTGCTGTTTAATGTTTTTGCAGTAAGACGTGTATCTGCTGATTGCAATTTGTCATTCTTATCAAGGCTCATTTGGATTTCTGTATCCACAATTTAAAGCTGTAACTGCATCTTCACGTGAAGACCAACATGTTTTTGATAGGCTTTTCAGTACTTTATGATCAGAACTTAAATTTGAATTCATTTCCCAAAGGTGCATTGACGAGGAAAAGAAATCGTATATAGAGGTTTTGAACAAAGTCAAAGTAAATTGTGACATTCAAGTTGCATTCTATTGCTACCCGCCTAATTTTTTTTTCCATTTTTTTTCTATAAATTTTATTTTAAATTGGGTGTGCACTTGGCGATGAGGCCCCCTTGGCGCCGAGGCCCTGGGCCCGGGCCCATGCCTTAAGACGGCCCTGATGGTCGGTCTCACAGACTACAGACTGGACGCGACTAACGGAAGGCTAAAAGTTTCATGTCTCTATTGATTAAAAAACCTGCATAGGTCTAGGTCATTCCTTAGCGTTCAGGATACGTTTGGAATCCTTGCTGGCAATAATGAATTGTCTTAACTAACCAACCATTTGACTCCTGTGGCTAATGATGTCATACTATTTACTACATGAATTTGTGCCTCTTGGGACACATTTTTCATCTGATTTCTTTTATTGTTGCCTACTCGGTTACCTATTGGATAACCAAAACTTCTCGTTCTGTATCCTGTACCCATAAGTTTCTAAACCTCTTGATGTTTACCTAATAATTATAAAATATTCACTTACCAGTTTCATGTTTTCAAAGTGCTTTCTAGGATAAGAGAAAAGTTTTATTTTTCAAGCTTTTCATTAAATTACTTCTGAATTAGCCTATTATTATGTTTCTATAGAATTTTGATTTATAGTATAGTTATTAATCAGTTATTCCAGTTTATCAAAATATTTGTTTGTTTATTTTTGATCAAAATGAATGCAGCAAATTTGAGGTTATGTTATGCGCTGGTAGTTTGTCTTCTTTTTCTTCAATCGTCACTTCAACTGCATCTTCCCAACTAGGGTTGGGCAGAAAATATCGATGTTTTTATGATATCGACGATATAGTTGTATTCTTTTCACACCAAGGAGTAGCTCCGGAACAGCTCCAAGGCATTACGCGCTTATTCCTTTCGAAAAGTATTTGTTGCACCACGCACCTGTTCCTTTGAAATCGGGGACGAGTAACACCGGAGCGAGTTGCTGGAGTGTTTTACTCTTGAAAGGAACACAACTATTTCTTTCACTTTTGACTATTTGACTGTTATCAAAAATCAAAACTATGAATTTTACTTTATTGAACACAAACATAATAAATTTCAAGTAAAACTAAACTAAACTGTGCCTGTTATAATATTTTTAATACTGGAATCAAAAGACCTGAAACAGAAATTATGTAAATTATAAAGCAAATATTTTTTAAATGACTCACTTTGAAGTAATCGGTTCACCTGGAATATAAAAAGGATTGCTGACCATATCTGCATATTCCGAATGAATTTTTCTGAACATCTACAAAAAATAATTTGAATTAATTTGAATATTCATATCCACTTCAGCCTCCAACCATGTTGTCACAATTGGAGCATAATTCCGCTTGTGATCTGGCAACATTGTAATTACGATGATTATTTTTTGACAGTTGTCAGATCAGTTCTGCAATTTTTTATCAGCGGATCACGTGAATAAAAAATAAATAAAATAATAAAAACGTTGACCTGAGGAGGTAGAGTACTCATTCATTATCTTCTCAAATTTTGTTTAAAAAACACAGCAAAAATTTATGCTGGCTAAAATCAACATTGTCTGCAATCATGACCAATATCGGTCAAATAAAAAACTCACAAGTTTTAGTTGAACCTTCCCAGAGGTTCAGAGACTACATTCAAAGTATAAAAGTGATAAGTGATGACATTCCTATAGGAATTCAGAATATAATTTACAAAAACAAACCCAAAGACAAGCCTGTAGCGAAGCAACCCAAGCTGGAATACCTTGTCACAGAGCAGGACAACAAATTCATTGAATCTTTAAAATTAAGCAATGAAACAGAGATTTTCAATAAAGATTATTTAAAAAAGAAAAGTTCCTCGTCCACTGGCGTAAGATTACTATCCCTACAAGACCTTCATTGGTTATATGCCCACATACAAACACAAAACGAAAATTTGGATGAAAAAATTTACTTGCATGAACTTCTAGAAGGTTCAGAAATAGTTTTACCGAAAAATGAAGAAATCCCAAGAAACGAAGAACTAGAAAAACGATGTCAAAAACTTAAAGCAGAACAAGAAAACCGAGACTACCAAAATATGACCAAAAATGTTGATAATTTTAGAAAAAGATTACCAGAAGATACCATTGGATACCAAATGAAAATGATGAACACACATTTGATAGCAGTATTCCAATTTATAGTTTCAGTAATAACCGGTTTTGCTTTTGGATTCATAGGGATTGAATTATTAATTGGCACTTTGGATTTTGGGTTTCGCCTCTTGCTGGGAATCGTATGTGCATTAATTATTGCATTGGCAGAACTTTATTTTCTTGCAAAGAAACTTAATGAAGATTTGGAGTTTGAAACAATGGCAAAAAAAGCACAGCCAATTAGAGGAATGGATAAGAAAAATCAATAAAAATTTGTGTATTTAAGCCAGTATTTTCATCAATTTGTAACTGTAGTTTGTCATACCTATTTATTTTATTTACTGTAACTTACCGATCTTATTTCATTGTCCCTTAAAGCCATATTTGTAGAATCTACTACTATGATAAATTTAATTTTGGTGTTTGTTACATATCCATAACTGTTGAAATGTTAAGAAAGAAAATGTTTAAATTTGTGTTGTTGAATTCGAGGTTGAATTTATTTTTTGTAAAGGATACATTTTACAAGTTTCCAATGAATAAAGTTGTCCCAAATAAAGCTCCCTCATTTCGCTAGCTGATTTGCTAGCAGGATTTAGTTTCTCCTCTATTATGTCCAAAGACGAAAGGACTTTGTATTGGAAAGTTAATTCTTCATCTGGATTTATGCAGCAGAAAAATTTGGGAGAGTTCTGCAAAAATTTAAATTTTTAAATTATTATTGGATTAGCTGGCAACATTGAACTGTCCTATAAAATGGATGTAAATAAAACTTGTATTTTTTGTTTGAAAAAAGAAAAAGAAGGGACAGGATCAGTTAATCAGTTTACATCGAAGGTTTAAACTCACGTCTTTTCCCACTATTGCAGCACAAACTGCCATTATTAATTGTTTTAAAAGGTCTTTTTGAGATTATTTTCCAATACTCAACAAAACTTTCTCTACCTACCTAAAAAAGAAAAATACACAAATATCAATCACAAACTTGACAACAGTGTACTAAAGAAAGACCTCTACTATTTTTGAGAAAATAATTTCCTAATTTTATTGTAGACTCTTGATGACCATGATTACTATTTGGTAGTTTATAGTTTTTCGCTTATTGATTTATTCGAATCAAAAACTAAATGAAACATAAAACACCAGTGATAGAAATCAAAATCCAAAATTTCCAAGACCTTTTTGATAACATATTGGCAACGTTGCATAAAAATGATATGCCATCTGATTTGTCACTTGTCACTGCGTCTAGAGATGGCAATATTCCTCGATATATGTCTTTGAATATAAAACTACAGGAAGGAGCGTTTTCTATCTGTCACTCACTACATTGGTCACTACCAATGAACTATAACCAAAAACTGCAGGTGCTGTGGAGAACGTGAATCGAAGCACCTGTGTTTTCTCCTCCGCGCAAACGATACTAATTTTTTGTGTGGGATTCTTTAAATTTTTTGGGTTTATTCAACTCTATCTTTGGTAAGTCGACATTTGGCTTGTCTTGAATTTCATCCTCTATATTTTATTGTGAAAAATCCAATAAAATATGGAGGAAATTGACGATCCCGGAGGGGGTCTAGATCCTCCAGAAAAACATTTTAAATCTAATTCAAACACGAATGAGGGACCGTCCTCGTCGACCTTGACTAATTCTACTGCCGATAAGCGAAATGAAAAAATGCCTAAACTTTATAGTCCAACTGATAAAGGACCGTTTGTAGTTTTTATTGAATCAATCTGGGAATAATATCGGTAAATTTAATGATCTGAAAATAGCAAAATACTAAATACATTCATTGTTTTTAACAATTATAATGTGTTTATAACAAAATTAATCAAAATCTCCCAAATAAGGACTGACAAGGAGCTTATTGCTGTCATTTACAGCAGAGACTCAAACCCAATGAACTAACCAAACGTATGTTCAGCGCTTCTCTAAAAGATGTCGCTGAGTTCGGGAAGGATAGTAACTTCTTTTAAACGCCAGTAAAAACTGTTTCACCTAGCTAAACATGTGAAATACTATTATTTTATTTGTATCATAATAAAATTATTTAGTCCACTGTAAATTACTGTGTGAACGAATTGATATTGAAGATGTCGCCATCTACTTGTAAATAAGTCAATCACTTACAGAGAATTTGAACACCTGTGATCAAAAAATATTTTTTTACTACTAACCTGAGAAATAGACATTATTCAATCTATTTTTCTAAGAAAAAATTGAATTTCTCTCCCTAGGTTAATAATGAAAATAATGAAAAAATACCTAGGTCAATAATGAAAATGACGTCATGACGCAAGGATATTGTCGTGTTTCTATTGGTTCAATTACAATTTCATACGTCAAATTGAAAAAAAATACAGGTTTCTGTAGGTACATAGGAAGTTATATAAGCTGTTGATAGAGGGCAGCACTTTCAAGAGGGCGTTCACAAAAAATAATTAGAGCACAGATTTTAAACAAATTTTTTATTTTCTACTAGCAGTAGTAAAAAAAATTCTATATATTCCTCGGTAGAGAAAGTCATTATATACCTCACGCATTATAAACCTCGGCGCTGCGCGCCTCGGTTTATAAAAGCTTTCGGTATATAATGACCAACTTCTCTACCTAGGTATATAATATACTATTAATGTATGTCATAAAGCCCAAAAGATGGCGCGCTGGCTCTTATCTGACGCCCCTCTTAATTTAACTAAAATTAAACCAGCTTCTTGAGTCTTGATTGAAAAGTACTGCTTGAAATTACAGAACATCATTTGTCTGTGTCTATTCGAGAATTACTAAACTTCTTATGTTTTGAAATTTTGAACAATCCATAAATCAGAAAAAGTGCTTGTACCTACTGTCTGTTGTACAGTCATGAGCACAAAAAGTGGGACACCCGACTGACAGGTCTTGTCATTTTTCGCTATTTTCCGTAAATCTCTTTTTTCTACAATCGATTTTTTGTCAAATATGACAATCCCTGTCATTGCCGTAGGTCATACCCCGCGATCTTTAAATGTACTACTTGGTTCGATAAAAATTTGTTTCATGCCCGGTAGAGGCGCTATCAATTGAATTGCGTACGCGCTGTTGATCTCCGCTTCTGGAGAAGATAGGTGACGTCATTTCGAATTAAATTATGACATGAACCCAAGAATCGCCATGAACTCATGAAATGACAAATGATGACAAAACGATAAACTGGAAAATGTTGTGCTTCTTGTTGTTTTAATACTCCTGTTTGTTAAAAAAGTGTTCCGTATTGTTAATAGAGTGTTATCTGTGTGTATTTGTGGACTTTCACAGTGTTATGTTTAGTGCAAAGACTATTATTGTTATTTAGGGTCGAATTTATAGTCGTTCCTTGAGGCTTCCTTAGACCTTGAGGCATCCTTCAAGTAAAATCCTATTTTATAGTCGGTTAAGGAAGCCTCAAGGATCCCTTAAGTACAAGGTAGGGTGATAGTTGAGATAAGGTAATTCCTCAAAAATGATTTTTTTTCAAAAATTTTGGTATTAATCGATTTGTTTTTTTATTATCTTTCCAAAAAAGTGAGGATTATTTAAATATTTCAATAAATATCACTTACATTCAAAAAAAAAGTTTCGCATCAATCTCATTACTCTTTGTTATTTGGGATATTTTGAACAACCAATTCTATAATATAGGTGTAATTTTCTTTCCAATTATTATTTTTTTAAAAATTTTCAACGTTTTATGAATATTATGTGATCATATAAAATGAAATTTTATTGTTTTTTTTCGATTGATTGAGGTTAAAACTTTAAAACTGAAAGAAATTATGCCGTCGCGGCGGAACAATAGGGCAATCCAACGACCTGTCAAATAGTAATTCAAAATGGAGGTCAATGCCTTTTTATTTAAAAAAATGCCGTTTTATTGCAATTTTTGATTTTTATAAAGTCTGTAAAGTGTTGATTTTTTGGAAAATGCACACGTTATGTATTGTAGTTAGTTGTGGGAGCCGTTCTAATCGCGAGAAAGTCTATTTTCATGCCATTCCTCCAGAGATAAAAGACAGGTTTTTAACAGAGAAAAATTATTTGTCTGTACTTTGTGAGGGCTTCATGGATTGTAGCAAAAGAGAAAAAATCTTACGAAATCCATATTAAAAAAACCAAAAAGTCTCTCTACATAAATGGTGTATGGATCTAAGCCATTTACTATCCTCCACATCAGCTTGTGTCGATACCTTGAATAGCAGACAAATAAAATGATAATCAGGATTCAGGATTTGGTTAAAAAAAAAAACTAAAAAGAAAACAAATCCTGGATAGTACCTACCTAATTGTTTAGTAGGTAAAGGTTTGTCACAAAGTGTCCGTATTTCCCACGAGAGCTCCCATGGGTGCTCCGCACCCATGAGAGGTTACTCATGGGTGCACTTGCCCCGATGCCCCGATGCCCCCATGTAGTCGGCGCCAGTGATAAGTGTACTGGTTATTAATAAAGCGCGCTTGCGCGCTTTGTTTTTCGAATCCAGTATTAACATACAAGGACTAGTACGCATTAGGTGGACGGGTTAGTTTGGGTTAGTTTGCTTATTTCTGGTTAGTTTCGTTTATTACTGGTTATAAGTGCACTGGTTATTAATAAAGCGCGCTTGCGCGCTTTGTTTTTTGTATCCAGTATTCACATACAAGGACTAGTACGCATTAGGTGGACGGGTTAGTTTGGGTTATTTTGCTTATTTCTGGTTAGTTTCGTTTATTACTGGTTATAAGTGTACTGATTATTAATAAAGCGCGCTTGCGCGCTTTGTTTTTCGAATCCAGTATTAACATACAAGGACTAGTACGCATTAGGTGGACGGGTTAGTTTGCTTATTTCTGGTTAGTTTCGTTTATTACTGGTTATAAGTGCACTGGTTATTAATAAAGCGCGCTTGCGCGCTTTGTTTTTCGAATCCAGTATTAACATACAAGGACTAGTACGCATTAGGTGGACAGGTTAGTTTGGGTTAGTTTGCTTATTTCTGGTTAGTTTCGTTTATTACTGGTTATAAGTGCACTGGTTATTAATAAAGCGCGCTTGCGCGCTTTGTTTTTTGTATCCAGTATTCACATACAAGGACTAGTACGCATTAGGTGGACGGGTTAGTTTGGGTTAGTTTGCTTATTTCTGGTTAGTTTCGTTTATTACTGGTTATAAGTGTACTGATTATTAATAAAGCGCGCTTGCGCGCTTTGTTTTTCGAATCCAGTATTAACATACAAGGACTAGTACGCATTAGGTGGACGGGTTAGTTTGGGTTAGTTTGCTTATTTCTGGTTAGTTTCGTTTATTACTGGTTATAAGTGCACTGGTTATTAATAAAGCGCGCTTGCGCGCTTTGTTTTTCGAATCCAGTATTAACATACAAGGACTAGTACGCATTAGGTGGACAGGTTAGTTTGGGTTAGTTTGCTTATTTCTGGTTAGTTTCGTTTATTACTGGTTATAAGTGCACTGGTTATTAATAAAGCGCGCTTGCGCGCTTTGTTTTTTGTATCCAGTATTCACATACAAGGACTAGTACGCATTAGGTGGACGGGTTAGTTTGGGTTATTTTGCTTATTTCTGGTTAGTTTCGTTTATTACTGGTTATAAGTGTACTGATTATTAATAAAGCGCGCTTGCGCGCTTTGTTTTTCGAATCCAGTATTAACATACAAGGACTAGTACGCATTAGGTGGATGGGTCAGTTACATATCAACGTACAAGGACTAGAACGTAGTTTGCATATTATTGGTTAGTTCTGACACAGTTCGTTTATTACTGGTTATGAGTGTACTGGTTGACAACTAAATTATTTGAATTCAATAAATTTTAATATGTAATTATAAAATTGTATCCTCGATTGTATCATTAGTTTTTACTACTAGTTCATGAAAAATGTGAAATCTGGCAGCACTGCGAAAACAACAAGGGTTGTACACACCACTACACACTGAAAATCATACGGCAACCTTGCCATCGGTCGGCTTTATTTCCATTATTAGGAATACATAATTATTATTGCATAGAATTTAGGCACATTTGATATAAATATAATAAAATTATTTTGTTAAATCCCAATAATCCTCACTTTTTTGGAAAGAAAATAAAAAAACGAATCGAATAAAACCAAAATTTTTCAAAAAAAATCATTTTTGAGAACTTACCTTATCTCAACCAGACCCCAAGGTAGGTCTAAAGCTACCTTGAGCCTCCCTTTGCTGATGCGTTTTTTTATTTTCAATAGCAGATTTGTATTTTTCCATTAAGTTTCTTCTGATTTTAGAGGGCATCTCAACAACAAAAATTCAGCCAGAGCATACAATTCGATTGTGTCACACAAGTGTCGCACAATCGAACACGGTCAATAATATACATTTAATAATAATATTATTAATATTTGAACTAAAGTATTATTATTCAATAATAAGTACTAATATACATCTTGAACAAACTACAGCATATTTTAATTTACTGCCAGTTAAATCTTCACGTTTGATTGCATTTAACCCAACTGTTATCTTCTGATTTTTGATAATTCGTGTTGTTAAACTTTATCAGGATGTTCTCGTTCTCGATTCAGTTCCGATGGTATTTTATAAAATTTAAGGTTGTCGCGTTCTCCCCTACTACTACATTTCACTACACAACAAAATGCAGGTATTTTACACATATTTTTGCGCACGTCTTCAACATTCGCCTGCCCTGGCTAACTTTTGACAGCCGCCGTTCTTGGCAGGTCGTATAACGTATAACTTCATTACATCTTTTCACGTCGCTCCGGTTTAAACTAACCAGGTTACAAAACGGTTAGAAGCGGTATGTCAAGTGATGACATTACTGAAAATCCCACTTGAAAACGAATGGTTAGAAAATAGTAGATTATACCACGAGTCAATAATGATAGCTATTATTCCCGAGGTATATTTACGAACTAAGCCGCGTTAGCGGCGAGGGAGTAACATTCCGAGGGAATAATAGCCATTATTGCGAGTAGTATACTCTACTTTATTTACGACAAATTAATTTATTTGAAATTTTCTTTCCAAAAACGCTCTTTGTTCATCTATCTCAATACAAATCATATACAAATACACAAGCACTACGCGTTTGACACTGACACTGAATTTGTTCTATACAGTTTTCATGGTATTACCTACTTATTTAATTTGAAAAATTTTGTGATTGGTGTGCAAGCGGGATTAATGACCATTAATCCCTGCGGGAATAATAGATGTCATTAAACTGCCAAAATCACAAATATAATACTTACATTATATGTCAGTCGTAAATAAATGTTATTTTAAATTCGATATGAGGTTGGGTTGGTCAGTGCCGTTAATTCTGACCCCTGACCTACCTATTATGTCTACTATGGACAAAACTATCTTAAATGTGAGCAATTTACAATTATTAATTAAATGTGAAGAAATATGGGAAGCAAGTTTTTTTCAAAATTGTGGAATTATCGAGTATTTCATTCTTTTTTATAACAGCAAGCTAAAAAGTGAAAAGTAGGTAGTTTAATTTCTTTTCGTTCAATGCTTTAGATGTGGACCATGGGTGGATAGACTACTAGAACCAGTTTATCTAAAGTTTATAAGTACTCTTTCCTACAGTCTACAACAGCCTATCGAGTAGGTAAACTGGGATTGTCTCGTCTCTGGTACATATTTTGAATATAATACAGGGTGATTTACGTAGTCCGTGCATCAGCAGGTAGATTAGGGCCGGTTTCCCAATAGCAAAGATTATAGCAAGGCACCCCCTGGTTAAGCATAACTCCAGGGTAAACATAGCAACTGCAACTGCACACGCTTACCCTGGAGTTAAAAATAAAACCAACCCAGAGGTGACCCGCTATTATGTGCCCGCTAGGGAGAAACCGGTCCTAGGTGGTATTTATTTATGCTAATCTGCTAATCCACCTGCAAACTGAACAATTTCTAATGCACGGGCCTCGTAAATCAGGCTATATACAAAGAAAAACGGCTTTCGGGCTTCAAATTCATAAAATATAATATTATATACAAAACACAACTTTTTATTTACTTTTTACACTTTTCCAAACTTTCCCGCTCTCCGTTGTTTATATTTTTTTCTCCTAACCGCTCGACGTAACCATATCGCCGAGGCGGTTAGAGAAATGACATACCGTTTTCTAACCCGGTTACAAAGTGACATCTTCGATGCCACTCGAATTTGAGCGGTATGTTGCGGTTTGTTAAACCGGAGCCACGTGAAAAGGATTATTGCGTATAACCAATGACGTATAACCTATCCGTTCTGTCAAAAAAGCATTTGATTACACAGTTGCCATATGTAATCTTTCCTTAAGGGAGTCTCAGTGAAGGGAGCGACTCTAAAACGAAGAAGCTGAGGACTCCTTAAGGCAGCCTTCAGTAAGGGAGCCTTGAGGACGCCTTCAAGGAATGACTATAAATTTGACCCCTAATTCTGTGTTGTTGAGAGTTGACTTTGTTGACAAGTTGCGAAACGCTAACATAACATTCTTCTTTCTTTGTAATAAACCGTTATTTGTTAAATTTGTATCAAATTGTGTCTTTATCATAAAATAAATAAGAAGCAAATCTAAAAAAATTAGAAGGGAACTGCTCTACAAGCTGCTACAGTAAGATGAACTATTTTCATAGACAACAGACGGCACCACAAATGGTTGTCCGATCCGTATAACGCGAGTGTCCATTCTATCCCCACTATAAACCTTATTCTATGTCGGCTTCAGCACTCAGGTGCAACATTTAAAGGGTGCAACAAACACTTTCCGAAAGGAATAAGCTCGTAACCTTAGACAAGGTCTAAGCGCGTAACGCCCCGGAGCTGTTCAAGAAAAAACGGGTGTCCCACTTTTTGTGCTCACGACTGTACTTGTCTGCACCGGGAACACCTGTGATCTGGATATGCAAGAAAAGGCTTCTGATGGCCGTTTGCACCGACCATTTTAAGGGAGGTTTAACGATAATCAACGTTTAAAGTGACATTTTTACATGCAAAAATGTCACTTTAAACGTTGATTATCGTTAAACCTCCATTTTAAGGGAGGTTTAACGATCATTAAACTTCTAAATCCATGCACTATGCATTCTAATCATAAAAAAATATTGAAATATTGTATGGAGTGGTAAACCGTTTGAAAGATCATCGTATCGATAATCCACTGGAAAATTATCGATCCTTTGCAAGGATATTTTCGATGTATCGATAACTATCGTGCGTTCCTATTCCTGTCTACCTACCTCTGTTGAGAAGTAAGTTGAGAATGAAAACAGAAAGTAAAAACGTAAACAATCCAAAGGCAAAAAGTCTATTTATTTGAAAAATACAATAATATTATTATTATTTTATGTGATGTAATGTTAAATTTAAAGTTTTTTCAAAAGTCTAGCAGCTATCGTTGGTAAAGGTAAGAAAAAATTACTTATAAATTAAAAACTCAATCAAATTGACAATGAAGGCCCACCTATTAATTATTTTGTCCAACACTCGACACTATATGTAATGACACTATACTAAACTATAATTATTGCTTTGATTTTAAATGAATAATGTGGCCTATATCTCACTACAGATCAGTGCTTACTACCCATACCTATGATTTCTATGAATTTTTTTTTAATGGTTTTTCCGGGGGGCGGTTAACTCTGTTAAATCGGTGTACAAATGGACTTTAATCACTTTAAATCCCTTATAAAATTATTTAAATCATCTTGTTTTGCTCTAAATCAGATTAAATGAGGTCAAATCCCTTTAAATTGTTTTAAATCCCTTTAAATAATTGTTTATTGGTGTTAGATACACATAGGTAGTGTTTACACAGGTCATATTAATTTTCTTACAACATTACTTAAAATTACAATGTAAATTACTAATGGCCGTTTCCACCAACTATTTTTGGGGAACCCTAACGATAAGTATTCCGTAAACTGGACATTTCTCCATGTAAAAATGTCATTTTAGGGAATACTTATCATTAAGGCTCCCCTAAAATATTTGGTGGAAACGGCCATTAGGGCCATATTCTCCGTAGTTCATAAAGCCTGGCTTAGTGGAAACACTTGACTTTTTGTGTGATAAAGCCGAGCTTTTCCACTAAGCCAGGCTTTATGAACTACGGAGAATATGGCCCTTAAAAACATTTTATAAAAGACATACATAATTTTCCTTTTTTTAAAAAAGTGACATAGAGACACCAAATATAAAATACAAAATTCAAAAAATACACAATGTAGAACATACAAATAAACTTGGGTACAAAAAAAAACAGTACTATTCAATCTTATTATTTGACCAAATGAGTGCGGAGTTGTAGAATTCTTCGTGTGAATAAAAAGCCTTTCTTATCAGATATTCTTTTACCTTTTTTTTGAAAAGAGATCTATTGAGGTTAATGGTCTGTTCTGGAAGTTTATTAAACAATCTTGCGGCATGGTGTCCGGGTCCATTCTGGCACCTGTGAAGTCTACAGAAATTTGGTCTTAAGTTATTCCTAGTTCTAGTGTTATGACTGTGGATATCACAATCTCTTTACATCCCTTCAAATCTTTTTAAATCCCTCTCAAATCTTTTTAAATCCCTCTCATTTTTTTTTAAATTAATTGAATCAGAGACCCGGACCAGTTTAAATCCCTAAACAATTTTTTTAAATCACCTATTTTTTTCATAAATCATATAAAATCACGTTAAATCAGGTTAGATCACTTCAAATTTTCTTAAATATCTTTCAATTCAGTTATATCCCTTGAAATCCTTTCAAATCTTTTTAAATCCAGTTAAATCTTCTTAAATCCCTTTATATCTTTTTAAATCTCGTTAAGTCTTTCTAGATCCCTTTAAATCTTTATAAATCTGCATAGATCTTTTTAAATCGATAAAAAACGGTTTAAATCACGGACGGACTTTGGGCGACTTCCACTTGGCAGACGGCAATGCACAAGTTAGATACCTAAAAGATTTCCAAGATAAACAAAAAAATGAAAAAATGGGTCATTGTTTTTAAAAATCATTCTCAGTAATCTCAATTCTGGGAAAATAATGACAGTGAAAAAATCTTCATGCTGGCTTTTTCAAAACTCGACATCCAAATTTAAGTAGTGACCGTATACTAAAGGTACGGTTTGTTAGGTTAGTACGCGACGCACAACTGACAACGTAAACGTCGTCATTGGTTCAGGTATGACGTACACCCGTCTTCTGACGTGATAAAACGGGTGTACGTCATACCTGAACCAATGACGACGTTTACCATAGAAAAGTAGTTTATATTCTTATGGCATTTCCGATTGGTAGATCAAGTGCGAAACTAATGCAATTTTTTCTATTTCTATCTTTTTCTTCTACAAGTCGATTAAAAGGATGCAAATACACTCAGTGCGCACTGAAACTACCAATCGGAAACGCCATTAAATAGAACTTTTTTTTAGAGTTTTTATCGTCTGTTATATAATTTAAAGAATGTTGGGCGTCCGATTCCGATGCCTGCCGATGTCGCTATATGTCGACGACGCATCTGGTTGAAGGGATAATGGATTCCAAACAACCATTAATTGCAAATGTGTTCCCCATACCTCCTAACTCACTCCCATACCAACGGTAACCGCCGAAGGTTGCCGATGGTCACAAACTAACAACTTAAAAATTGATGAAAGACTTGATCGACTGGGTAGAAATGAGAGGTCTCGGTGGCTCAGTTGGTAGAGCATTACACTGGAAATGTAGGGGTCCTGGGTTCAAATCCCAGTCGAGACAAGAAAATTTTTCATCAACTTTTAATTTATGCGTCTGCATGCCACTAAAATTAACACTCTTTAAATTAAATAGAACATTCACTGGATTCATCCCCTCCATTTTTTGTTTTAGTTCGTGACTACACCGCTGTGCGCCCATATCGCTGTTTCTTAACGTCCCCCTCGTTTTTATTCTCATCGGTGACTTCACCGATGAGTTAGCTATCTTTGTTAAGTGAATGGAAAATGACAATGACGGCCATAGAATGGTGGATCCATCGATAAAATTTGATGAGAATAAAAACGCAGGGGTCCATTTAACATCATAATGCATATGTCATCTTGTCATCTGATTTATTTTATTGAGTGCATCGTCGTTGAGTGTTGAGTTTGTTGTTTTGAATTGTAAATTTGTGAAAGTGATAAGTGCATCACAAGCAGCCGGTTTAAGCAGTTATTGCCACAATATGTGACCAGGCGCAAAAAAAATTAATCGGCCATAAGCTAATTGCAGCGACGGACCATAGAAATCTACATCAAAAACAACACAGAAACCGGAGATAAACAACCTAGAAATCGTAATCGTGCCACTGTATGATGCTCCACACGTGCTCAAAGGAATTTGTAGAAATAACTTGATCAAATATGACGGCCATTCAAATGGGAAAATGGACATTTTCAAAAAGCAGATTGGAAATAGTGTTTCAGTCAGCTTCATGAGTCAGATACGCCAGATCATCTAGATTATAGACTATTTTATTCATGTGATTCTCACATAAATGTATGAAAATGAAATTTTAGTTTGAAGTTTCGGAGCTTTATTTTGAACAGAGATAAATACTATATAAACTGTCGAGAATGGAATCTCAGTGTAAATTTTGTTGTCAACAAAATTGAGCTAAGCCAACGCCATCTACCACATCGGAAAATCACTATTTACTGGTTTTGCATTGATGCTACAGACACCTACTTTACATAGGACTTTTTATGATAGATGGCACCCTGTTCGCATTACTGTCGGTCTGTTCAAATTCGTTTATTCTAGACTTTGGGGCATTAATGTTTGCTTAAATTAATTGATAATTTGTTAATTAGATCAAAAGACAGTTTCTTTATCGATGGTTAAGGGATCCTTAACATATTTATTCAAAGTTCTGATTGTTGTTTAATTGATCCTGTCATTTATCTAATCAACAAAGATAAAAGATAAAAATAGATCTTCCAATCTATAAAGTTTGAAGTTCTTCTTAAAACACACAAAACAACTTTGAAATCACTTAAGAACACTTGACAACACAAAGAAAGATGAAATGCAAGACCGGCGAACAAAAAACATTATGAATTATTAGTTATGATCAAATGAATATTTTGGCATATTGTCATATGTTGACATGTCAATCTCATGTCAATGTTATCGACGTCGGACGTGTTCTTGATGTGCTGGTATTTTCCAATTTTGACAATTCTGTGGTTGTTAGCGACATCTAGAAAAACGGAAAAGAGTTATTATGTGGTTTATAACTGGCAATGAGAGATCGCAGGGCCTGATTTTGAAAAAATTGAAATGTCAAACCAGTCATTTAAAACTGAGATTCAAACTGCCCGCCAAATATTAGTTCAATGACTACACCGCTATGGCAGCACCGTCGGAACTGTCACTTGGCGACTACAACAGAAGTGAGCGTTCTATATCAACAATATAATGGCGTTTCCGATTGGTAGATCTAGTGCGGAACTAGTGCAATTTTTTGCATCTCTGTCTTTTTCTTCTACAGGTTGATTGAGAGGATGCAAATACACTCAGTGCGCACTGAATCTACCAATCGGAAACGCCATTAATCACTTTTCTATGACGTTTACGTTGTCAGTTTTGCGTCGCGTACTATCTTAACAAACTGTACCTTAAGGGTAAGGGGATAACACAGGGAGTTCACCAAAAACAAGGAAATCTCAGAGGAAATCCATAAAAATTACCAACACAAAAAGAAAGAAAACCATCAATCGAACAAATAAGATTTCCAAGATCAAAAATGATGACTTTCATTGTTATTATCAGTTCATGATTCAACCTCAGAAGGATCGGAATATTTTGAGGATCTATACGGAACGGAGGAAATTGATGAGGAAATGCAAAATGAGAGAATCAAGGTTGAACAGGAAATGTATTATGCAGTCTTTTATAATATTCGATGGTTTTTGGGTAGAGTAATATGAAGACCCGCTGACTATGGCACTTTTAGAACTTTTTCTATTAGTTTAAAATTTAAATTGGGCTTTTGGTGAGAGCAAAAGTAAGGTACCTACCCTACCAGCACTAAAATATCTGGTTATTAGATACATTTTTATCTTTTTAGGATTAAATTAATTACCTCGTTAATTACCTTGAATAATATCAGGTTACATCAGCTTAAATAATCAAAAAAATCCTAAATCCATTTAAATCAGCTTAAATCTTTTTTGATGATCAAATAAATCTTTAAATTACCTTAGATCACCTTAAATCAGTTAAAGCTTACATAAAAATCTCTTAAATCTGATGAAATCTCCTAAATCAGTTAAAATCAATGATAATTTATATTGGTATACACATTTTGAGGAAGTTGACCGCCCCCAGGGTTTTTCTCCGAGACACCTTCAACATATCGCAGAAAATTATAGACCCATTAGCTTGACCTGTAATCCTTGCAAATGTCTAGAAAAAATTGTTGCTACTGAAATGACTGAATTCCTACTTACCAACAAAATTCTACCAAATTCACAACATGGCTTCATTTCAAAGCGTTCAACAATAACAAACCTTTTAAGCTGCATTGATAATTGGACCAAAGCTCATGAAAAAAAGGCAACCGACTGATGTTATATACCCTGACTTTGAGAAAGCGTTTGATAAAGTATAGTTTAACCCCAGGTTTAACCATTATCAATTGAAACTTCATAAAAAAGGTGGCTCAGTCGATCTCTTTGAAGTCACGTGGGAATCCATAGGTGTCTAAATATTATTTTTATGACAAATGAAAACAAATTGGTTAATAAAGAATAAACATACTCCAGATATTTCCATAAAAACTGAAAAGACGAACGCCATTGCCCCGAAATTCTAGCTGATTTACTTTTAGAATACAGTGGAGTTAATACATTAAATAAACGGGCAAAATTCATATAGTAGGTAATCCTTAAAATTCCATTTTAAACTATTGAAATAAATCAAATATAAATATGTATTTAAATGGGAATATTATTCCTTCATTAAAAATTCAAATTTGAAATCGATTTTTATTCAATTATCTGTGTAATTTTATACTTTTGTCCACTTCTAAAGAGATATCTCAACTGTCAACAAGAACGGCTTGGCTTTGTCGGTATGCGATAAAGACCAGCGGCATTGCCGACACTTTTCAAGTTTTTTTGCCGGCATGCGGTGTCTTTGAAATAATGTATCAGGACAAGGCATAAAAATATAAAAATTATTATATATTATTATAAGGGGTATTATTCTAATTTTGAGTAGTCATCATAGAGATGCGATTTTCAACTGATATTGGTAATACTTTACCTCATTCATTGTTGCTCTACAAGCTTGAACATTTTGGTATAAGAGGCCAGCTTCTTGCTCTAATCAACGACTTTCTCACCAACCGCTTCTACCAGGTGGGGGTCAATGGTATTTTGTCCAATAAACATCCGGTTATGAGTGGGGTGCCTCAAGAGTCTGTTTTAGGATCATTACTGTTTCTGGTTTCATCATTTTCTTTGCTGATGATACCAAGGTGTTCTGTAATCCATTGTTGCAAAGGGACTGCTTGAATAGGGATCTAAGGCGAATTGAGATATAGACGGACCAGTGGTGCATGAGGCTCAATGCATTAAAATGTACAATACTGCATAATTGGTCCGAATAATCCACATGAAGCATACTTCCTAAATAATGTTCAGCTTACTAGCGTTGCTGAGCAAACGGATCTGGGTGGGCTGATTTCTTATGATTTGAAATGGAAGCCCCATATAAATAGGATAGTGAAAAAGGCTAATAGTTTTATTTTGATAGTGGAGAGGACTTTCAAAGATAACTCTCTTCAGATCCTGAGGAAGTTGTACGCCCAGACCGAAAATCGAGTATGCTTATAGTATTTGGAACTCTTACTACATCAAAGACATTGAAATTTTAGAAAGGGCTCAGAGGCGGGTTACTAGAATTCCACTCCAGTTGAGAGGACTAACCTATCCTGAAAGACTGGAAATATTTGGGCTAACTACTTTGAAGCAAAGAAGAACTAGGGGTGATTTGATAGAAACCTTTAAGATTCTGTCAGGCTACTATTCTTGTGGCTTGGGAACTTCATTTCAATTGGAAGCACAAGCTGCGCGGACACTCAAAAAAATTAAACAAGGAAAGATCAGCATCACTTCCAAGAAACAGTTTCCTTACCAATCGGATTGTGTACGTGTGGAACTCACTTGAAGAAAGTACATTATCCGCAAATAGTGTAAACACTTTTAAAAACTGTGTTGACCGTTATTTAGAGCAAACCTCGGAGCAAACAGCCCAGAATTTTGTACATTACGGTGCCTGAAAGTGTTCACTGAATTTTTGTTTTTTTCTTTTTTTTTTCAAAATGTATTCAGACCTGTGAGGTATCCAGTATCCACCATAACAATGTGCTACATAAACACGACGAATAATGGAAAGGATTCCCTTTTGATATGGGAATAACCTCTTAGGAATTTTTGACAATAAGGCCCTTTTGACTAAGGTTACCTTACTGTCACTAGGTTACCTTACTGTCACTAGAGTGCAGCCTCACACTCTGGATATAGGCTTCGGTGTTGTAGTTTGTGAGTAATACACCAGAAGAGGTTATGGTTTGGACTAGACTAGGAGAAGAACTAGGTGGAAATTAAACTCTCTTCATCCACTGCAAGGAACAATATTGCTTCTTCTTCATCCGATGATGTATACATTTTTCTAGGCAAGGAAACAATTTGTCTTTCTTTTTTAGCACTCACTAGCATTCAGCAAAAAATTGGATACTGAAAATATGACGTAAATGATGCGATTATGTTTGGTTTGGTGTGAGACTTTCTTCGGAATCCGTCATGAAATTCGCTGCGGATTCTCCGTCACGAATCCGCTGCGAATAATTCGCGTTGGTTTGGGAGAGTCTTAAAGGATCTCCCAAACCAACGCGGTGCGTACGATTTGTCTGAACCGGTTAGCGTTGGTGCGGTGCAGTTATGTTTTGGAACGCAACCATCTGAACTACACCGGAAAATGTACGCTGCACGGTACGAATGGTCTAAAAAGTGCGACATTAATGACGGGTCAGGGTAAAAAGTGTCAGTAGTTCGGACTTATCGTACGCACCATAAATAACGCGTGTCGATTCATTTCGTTATTTTTAGCTGTCAGTGGTCTTGACAATTTACTATGACATTCTGGTAAATTATAAGAAAACAAATAGGTATTGAAAACATTGTCAGTCCTTGTTCTCTGACGTCAGCCTAAATATAACGTAAAAAACCTATATAGGTACTCTATCTATCATAACAAAATGCGCACCTATTTCGGACTCACCCTGTATATTTATTATGTACAATCATTATTAAACCTATAAAACATGTTTTCAAAAAAAGCCATGCATATTTGTATTTTTACTTGATGGGGGCGGCAGACAGTTTATTTGCCTAGGGCGCCAAAGTCGCTTGCGCCGACTCTGTTTGTATAAAAATAGTTGCGTCACTGCGGGTCAATAATTCCAAACTGGTCCATTTTATTAATTTTAAAATAAATCCTTTATATTGTTTTATGGCTAATTTTGGCTGCTTTTCCAGATTAGACAACCCTGTATGAACAAAATTTTGTTTTCTGAGAACTATTTTTCAAGCACTACACCTTTCCTATTTACATTTTTTTTATACACAGTGGCACAAAAAAGTTAAGGGCGGTGAGAAAATATAAAAAATGATCCTGTATAGAAATACAAAAGCTCCACCACCTCCAGACTTTCGAATAGTTACACATAATCTTTCCTTCCGATCTGAGTTATATTTTTGACATTTCAATCCGCTATCTAAACAGTCACTACTTGAGTTGCTTTCTACTAATATTAAAATTTCATAAAAAGAACTATTAAAGTTCCCAGCTTAGTGCGAACCACTTACATTCTCATAATAAGCCATCAATTAAAATCAAAGCAATTATAGTGTCATTGTTGGATAAATACTTAGGTAATTATTTTTTTATTTCAGAATTCGCTCCTGAAAAACCGGCTGTAAATTTAAATTATGGAAAACAATGATCCGAATGTCCGTTCCGTGGAAAGCACGCAAAGATGTTATGTTCGCTTCATCAATACCACAAGTAAAACCATAGACTTAATGTGGGTGAATTTTGCCGGAGTCTATGTCAGATACAGGATTCTCAGAAAGGATGACTACATTGACGTGAACACTTTCAAGACTCACCCTTGGATAGCCAAAGACTTTATGACCAAAGACATTTTGCATATCGATTCGAAATATTCTTATGAACCGAGAACGTCTAAAGAAATTATACAGGAAAGGTTCCCCGATAGGATAATTCCAGAAAACCATGAAGCTCGCATTAGAGCTTACATTACTCTTCCACTTTTCAGTCTGCGATACGCTTGTTTACTAACAGTTCGTAATCATATGTTGAACGAAGAAGATGTAGATCAACTCTTGTTACCAAAAAGTTTAAGTGAAGATCTGAAAAAGGTGATAAAGAGGAGGAATAGGGAGTGTTCATTGCAAGTGTTGAGTAGAGAGTTTGAGGACTAACTCCTTTGTTGTTAAATTTAGAGATTTTTACTATGTTTTGCATTTTGTGTAGGTACAGATCGATATTGAGATTATCTTGGTGGGCTGCAATAATTATTGTTCATTTTCATATAAGCATTTTATTAAATCTCAACTACTGAGCGTATCAAGGCCTGATTAGGGCAGAAACAAACTGTAGGTTTAGTGTGTATATATTTTATTTAGTTTAGGTTTTTTAATACAATTATTAAGCGTTAGTTTTTTTTTTGTATACTTAACTATATATTTGAAATATAACAATAATGTTAATTAATAAAAGTATTGACAAGTAATAGTTATGTAAGCTTTTTTCTATATTTTGTACAATTTGCAGCACTAACCCAGTCCCAAATTGTAGGTACTTTTAAACTTCCAGAATAGTAAGAGATCTAATAAAGCCAGATTTTAGGATATGAAAGATATTACTTCTTTTAAAAATTAAAATTTATTTTCGACAACAGGTAATTAGAAATTCAGCCGAAGGACCAATTTGTTTACGCAATAGTATCTGAAATTTAGTAAACTGGACTGCGAGTGGAAAATCGCGCAAACAAATTGAAATAGAAATGAAAATTATACCATAGGGTTGTCGAAACACACAAAAATTATTACCACTCACCTGGGTTTTCTTATAAGCTGTGCATATATACGGGGATCCCCTGGAAATCGGTTCTCCACAACCACCAACGTATCACCATCGACTTAAGGCACTCAAGGTCCCTTTTAAACGGCACAAGACAGACTTTTTGAGCGTAAAAACGGAACCGGTAAAAATGCAACGTGCATATCAAGTACCATTGATCAAGTGTGTGTAAATCCAAATCTTCAACAGCTATCTGCTTCGGCGCAGGATCGTAGAAAATACACTCCTGTGTGTTTTACGAGAAATTGACATTTAAGTAATTCTTTAATAAGAATGAGAAGAACCCAAATTTGTAAATAATGTTGCGTTAACAGTTGATTTAGTAAATTTTTCTTTCCCAAAGCCTAATAATTTATGGCTTCCATGTTATCGTACCTTGATTCTGTTGGAAAAACATATTAAAAATTTTGATGTAGCCTTTTGCTGTTTTCAAAATAATAACAAAAATGTACCTAGTTTCTCTTTATTTTAAATATTTTTTTACAAAATAAAATGATAAATAAAATTTCAAATCAACGATAATAATACTAACATTTTGCAATAAATACTGTGGTTATACATAATTAAAAATTATCAAATTTAACAAAAAAACAAATCAAATACTCACTAATGATGATAGAAAAGCTGAGAATAAAAATCAATCATCCCCTTTTCAACCAACAACCAATTTTCTTTTCTCCCAAGCCAACTGCATAGACCAAATACTCAAAGGCCTCATATAGCCAATTGCTCTATAATGTGATTCACAATAGAGCGCTTCTGGAGTATCGAAAATCATTCCGAAACGTTCAGTCATCGATTGAAACATTCCTCCTGCAGTTTTGAAACCTTCTTCTATCATGCCCTAAACAGAAAAATTAAAAACCTTTCATAACAGAAGAAGTTACTTACTTCTTGTATCATAGTTGCGGCTAAAGCATAAGTCACTCCAGTCCATACTTCTTGACTTTGAACAGTTACGGTATCTACTTGGCCATTTATGAATCCATTCACGGCCCCCATGCTACCTTCACAGAAACACAGTACGTTGTTTTCATAAATTGACCTAAGAGCACTTTGGACGTTGACTTTTGGAAATACCTAAATAAAAAAATTTATACATTAAAATTGAGATATAAACACATTGTATTGATCCGTACCGGATATTTTCCTCCATCTCCAATACACCCCAAATACCATTGAGCATTAAGCTGGTCCGCCATAACGCTGCGACTTTGATTTTCCGAACAATCGAAATTATAATACTTTCCGTTCCAGAGTTTTTTGTTGAAAGACGCAACGCCTTTTTTCAGTATTTTTTTGTAAAACTTTTCGTCGTCTAATTTTTGTAAACATTCTGCCATTTGTGTCATGGCATAAAGGGCGGCTAGCCAAAGACCACCACAATAAGAACTGGAAAAAGGATACTTTGAATTGAAAAATTATATATTTTAAGCTTGGTCATGTCTTAGTTCAGTTAATGAGAATCACCATTGATTATTCATATTTTAAAAAAGTTTGTTTGAGAATTAGTTTTGGCCAGGGCTGGATTTTTAGTGGTAAAGATTGAATATTGAAATCATAAATATCAACCAGTTGAAAAGGCTTGATCATTTTTTTTAAGAATTTGGTAATTTTTTGGGTAAAACTTCGAAATCTTCAAACTTTATTATCTCAATAGATAATGAGATAAAAAGTTTTAGGAATCGTAGCTCTCAGTAAAAACTACAGACAATTAGATTAATCAATTTCTATAGGATTATAGTTTTTTGAGAAAATGAAATTTTAAGTTATTGCATAAAATTGTCATTTGCTACCTTGATCCGATCATAACCCAACTGTCGAAAGTCTGATCCGGCTCGCCCGAATTCTCAATTAGTCCGTCATTATCAATATCATAAACGAGTGATTTGCGCATTACTGTATCACAAGCCTTATACATGTCCTGAAACAAGTTGGTTCAGTTTTATTTTTTTGCAAATGGAATTATAAAGCACTTACTTGGACATATTGTACGTTAATTTTACCAGTAGTGGTAGCATCCCTATAAGTTTGCAACACAAATTTCGGGTTCAAATCTCTCCAGTTGCTCACGTCATGTATGGGATAAGAGTTTATCAATGTAAACGGACTTTCACCTGAAATATTAATTTGTGGGTGTCAAAATGGCAGCAAGAATAACTATTAAAAAAAAATTGACTGAATTTATTGGTCAGAAACCAATTTCTTCACTTTGCCTTTCATGTTTATTAGCACTTCAATGGCATAATGGCATTAAATAAAAAGTCTTAAGAGACAATTTCATCAAAAATGACAAACAAAAACATTTTTGTTGCAATTTTGATGATAAGTAATTTACCTGGATCCCCAGCATCATGCGGTACACTATCCGGTTTCTTCCTTTCCACCACATCTCCATTATACAACATCTTCATTTTATCAGGTAGTTCCAAAAATACATAATCCCTCAAGTCATAATGAAGACTTTTCTGTAATTCGGGCCAATTTTTGCTGAGCGCATGAGAGGCGTAAAAGTGTACATCGTACGAGTTGTACATGCGGTATTCGTGGCCTTCTAGGTAGGCGAATCTACCAAAGGTTTTCCTAGGGTCGCTGTCACTGAGCTGTTTCTTTAATTCGTCATCTACAGAGAGCCACATCGTGCCTCCATCACTTATAAAATATGATTCGTTGAATAGTGCTGATTTGTACCAGTCTGGTAGTTCACTGAAAATATATTCATCCGATAGGTAATAAAAATCAATCAAAACTATGATAATAAATTTATTTTGTTTTATGAATAACAAAAATAACTCCCAAATTTTAACTTATCACCAAAGTATATTAACTTTATACACTAGACATAAATAAAACCAATAGTAAAACTGTTGGTTACCTGTCGTCTAATACTGGCTTTTGCCAATTGAATATTCCATCCTCCCATTTTTCATAATTTTCCATTGCAAAATCGACAATCTTTAGAGCAGCATTCTCTTTACCAAATTGCTCAGTGTAAAACCTGGAGTATTTTTTTTGATCTACGGGGTAGATGATATTGGGCATGTCCCATGCCAAAACCATTTCTATACTTTGTTTACTTTGCGTCGAAATTTTGGTTTTCCCTGCCACTGCTACGGCCATTTCGCCAAACGTGTGACGAGTTCTTGGAGATTTTTTTGAAACTTTTTCAAACTCTCCATTTTGATTTAGTTGGTCCCATATTGTAGATCCGTTCGAGTTTGGATTAAAGTATAAGCATTTCGAAACGTTAACTTTATCTGTGGATTTAATAGCTAAAGTATAGGCACATAGCATTTTTTCCAACGCATGATACAAAATTACACCTTCCAAATTTTGATAGGCAAAGCATTTTGAAGAACTTGTGGCTAAAATTCCAGAAATTATTTTTATTTTTACAGCAAATGCAATATTTTCACTCACATTCTTTATCTAGTTTCTTAGTTCCAGTACCACTTTTAAAAGTCAACGATATTGTCACAGATCTTTCTTCATCGCCAATATTTTCTATGTCCCATACAAATACTGCACATGGCAAGCAGCTGCTCTAAAATAATCACAGAATTAGACATTTTTTGGAATCTGTATTCAATTCAATTATACCTCATAATCATGAGGAATCACTGGGCTAATTTGTCTACAAGTGAGCTTAACACCATATTTTGATAAGTCGTATTCTGTCCAAGCTCTGGGATATAAGCCTGTATATTTGCATTTGCTACCATCGAGCAGACTTTTCCACGAACTTAAGGATTTTTTTCTGGAAAATAAATAGACACGTTTTATATTATTATTGAATTTCTTGTCAATTTCATATTTTACTCGAGCGATTTGATCCCCTGTATGTGTTATACATTTTCAATTTGTTTGAAAATTCTACATATTATTATAATATTGGATTTTTTAAAAACTTATCTAATAGAAATATTGCTAGTGTGAGGCAGATAAGCATTATTTTAATAGGAATTAAAATTCATTTGCCTTAAAAACAGCAGAAAACTAATACATGATTAGAAAACTAATATTATTAGACGTCATTTAAGTTCAAGGTTCAAAACGAATAGGTACTTAAATATTTATCAATGTTTTCCAATATGCTGGATAGAAATATTCTCTAATATGTAAAAAATAATTCCTGCAATCAATATTTTTGATAACGTGCAAACAAATAAGGTCACTCAATTAAATAGCCTATGTTTTAATCAAATTATCAATTATCTTCAAGCTTACAAATTTAGGTAAAAAATAGTTTTGTGTTTGAGATTGCGTACTATCAAATCAGGATCTTGACTTTTTTTCTGCATATAATTTCAAAATAGAAGCGTTACTGAAAATCCTATTAAAATTCACTTACTTGTATGTTGATAAACAACTCTGAAATATAGTATCCTGGTTCTCATCTTTAATAGTCACAATAAACTGATTTGCATCTACGGTATTGTATTCACACAGATCAGGCCTCAATTGAAATCTGCAAAATTCCCCTTTATATCCTCTGCCTATAGTTCCAGATCCTATTCCACCAAGTGGAACACCTTGAAAAATACTGAATATTATTATATTTGGAATTTTGAGACTTGGTTGTTTTACCGTAAATCATCTTCCCTCTTTGCAAGTTAACGTAATCCATAACGATTGATTTTCCTCTGATTTTATACGTTATGTAGTACCAGAGGTATCTAGAAACATATATCTATGTAATATGAAGAATAAAAGGGTACAATATGATATTGAAAATAAAAATTATATATAACAACTTTTAAAAATTTTGAGGTACACATATTTGATTGGTATAAGAAAAAAATTTCTATGCAATACGTGCTTAAAGCACCTATTTTCACCCATGTAATCGTCAAAATTTACATTCGTAAAAAAATGTTCACTTAAAACACTTGTTGCATAAATAGTTATTTATGCAACAAGAGCCTGGCTGGAATAGAAACAACATATGAGTACTTAAGTCTATTGTCTACTTATCTATTTCGTTTTCCCTTAATGTCTGCCTTTGAATTCTCAAATTTTTGTCTATTCCCGGCTCTTCAAGAAGCCCTCTTAATACATATAAGAGCCGGTTTATTCACTTTCTAATAAACTGTCAGGCAAGCTGTCAGGTAATGCAATCTGACGGATAAAAACGCAATATCTAATCCCATTGGTCAACCAATTATCCAGTGACCAACAGGATTAAAGATCTGTAAATTTATCTTGCAGATAGTTACCAGCAAGTTTATCTCTCTCAAGATGAATAAACCGGACCTAAGATAGAGAACATTGGATGTTAGCGAATATAATTTTAATACAAAAACAGATCTGCGAAAAAGTCGTCTCTTCCAAACCCATTCAAACATTAAAAATGCTGGAGGATGTTTTCCAGCAGGTCTTTTTTCCTATATTCCAACAAACATCCCAAGCAGCAAAGGTTAGTTGTTATGACGTCGATTTTAAATAGATTTACGTCGATTAACCAAAATTCGATGTCGGAAAGAGGTTGCAAAACATTATCTGTCTGGGACGTCACCTAGTGGACGTTTAATTGACCATGACTGAACCAACAGGTTCAAAAGTTACCATTTAAAACCCAATATGACCCATTCAGAAAAAATACCCTGTATTAAGACGTCTATGAAGCGTCCATTTGACGACGTTGAGTTGGACGTACATTTGGTCAGTGTGGATCGTTAGAAAAGTTATATATCTACATAGTAATACCAGTATATACAGTGGCGTATTTTGGAATTTGGCGCCATGGGCCTATAGGGTTTGCCGCCCTATAATTTAACAACAAAAAAATTAAATAATGAAAAGAGATCAAACACCATTTATTTAGTTAATGGTTTCTTATGTTATATTTAGGATGACGTCATCGAACAAGGACAGACAATGTTGTCAATGCCAATTTTTTTTCTTATAATTTACCAGAATGTCATGTGTCTGACGACAGCTAAAAATAACGAAATGAAAATGTTTATACAAGTCATGCAACGTCGCGCGCCGTTGCCAACCAAAAACATCTGAAAATCCCCTACTTTAAATGCTTTGAAAAGAACTTTTAATTTTGTTAGGTTGGCAGCATAAATTTACTAAATGTGACGTCATCCTAAATATAGCGTAAAAATCCATATTTTTTTTTTGGGATGCATAAATTGGTTAACGAATTTGTCAATCGACACCATCATAATTAACTGATTTTGTCTAGTGGCCTTTATATTAAAGGGGGTGTGACCCAAAAATGAAAGATTTAGTGCAAGAAAAACTAAGAATAAGTATTTAAACCGCGTATTGCTACAACAAACCGTTTTCGAGCTAGGGTGGTTTGAAGTTACGAACGCCTAGGCTGTGACGTCACACAGGCTCCGGAGGCACAGTTTTAGCACATGTAAAAATTTTCCAAAAAAAAATGTCCATGATCTCACTAGAGCGAATTGCAACCACTCAAAGTATAGGGCACAGTTCACTGAGGGAGTGAGGGCTGAACGAACAGAAGGCGGCGATTTCGGCGTTTAGCCGGTGTGACGTCACAAGCTCCCGCAAGATTTATCTTTAAAGGGGGATTTTCTCGGATACTATTTTGAATATAGGGCTGCGGTTTTCACGAGAGATCTTAGATTTTTTTTTCTTGAATGAAGTACCTAGCTGAAGTTGTTTTTTTGGGTCACACCCCCTTTAAGCATGACTATAAACTGTTCACACGGTCTTTGTCCATACCAGGAACGAAGGTAGTTTTTTATTCTTTCAAGTACGGAAAACGAACGTTCTGCACAGCAATTTGTCACTGCAGTCAAAGTTTACTACAGTGCAAACAATCATACGTAATACCTACTATTTCTGTATAAGGAAATGCTTCCTTCAAATTCTTTTCCTTATTAAATAATATGTTGAGCTGCCTCAAACTCATTTCCATTTCACTTTCATGAGATGTCAAGAATTGTTTTAAAAGAACACATTCTTCTTGTAGATCGTCCCCAAGATCAATCAGGTGTAATGTTTGGAGTTTTATGATGTTTACTCAAACTTTCGCTTTGAAAATTGTATGTAATTTGCATAGAAATAAAAATTCAATATTGGCGGTTACTGCGTGATACGAAGTTTTGCGCCGCCTTAACTCTGCCAAAAATTGGTCGGATTATGGAAGAAAAGTACCTACCTACCTAATCATTCTGAAATGGTATCGTCCTCCTAACAACACCTCCCTCGGAGAAATGCGGAATTGCGACGATAATAAGTTTTAGTTTAGCTTTTGTTGCTTTGTTGTTAAGATAGCATTCCTAAGCGCTGGGGACGCGGCTTGTGCCGCCCCTAGCAGCTTTACCGCCCCGGGCCATGGCCCCCATGGCCCTATGGTAAATACGCCACTGAGTATATATTATCTGATGCATAATAAGTATACAGTGGGTACCTACTACCTACCTACATAAAAAAAATGATAATTGTTTTGCACCAAGTAGTTTTAGCAATTTTTGTCAGTCGAATAATGATTATTCTCAAAAGGTTTTTCATCAAATTTTTGAAACAATCTGAAATTGGTGTTTTGTGCATTTCAGCAAGTAAAGATGAAAGGATTTGGTTATCTCAATATGAAGTAAGAAAAAAAGAGACCAGGGTAATGTAAACCAGCTTTTGTACCTTTTTTTTCTTATGTATTTTTATATTCGTCATTCGGCAGTAGACTATTGTGGAGGAATAAGCTATTGAAAAAATAATAATAAATTACTTAAGCTATGATCCTTACTGCCCTTCAAATGAGAATTTTGGTAAGCTACTTCTAGTTGAAAATGTTTGGTAATAAACTTTAAACATTTGCCTGTAGATGTTTTCAATAACTTCCTCTTAACAATTGAAGTTGCGTTTCACTGATTATCCAGGGCAACAAATTATAATTTGATTATTTCTTTGCGGTAATTGGTGTCCCCTGGGGAGGCCGTCCACCATAATAGGTTAGGATCCCATTTGTTGCACGATTATACTATTAAAGGTAAGTGTAGCAGTAGGGCACTACCGAATACCGGCGAGAAATGGTTGAATTATGATTTGCTGTTGGGTGTCAGCTGCACAACGTGGTTTCAAGTGAATTCAGCCTAATGGGGCTTTAATAGAATAATGGTTTACTGAATAAAGATGTCACTAAATTAAAATGGTTTAAAATTATTTCGAAAAAATGGATTCTTGAAACTCCCTGTACATTTTTTAAGGAACTAATAAATGGAAAACTAAAATAACATTACTTGCATATCAAGTTGCATATACAATCTTTAGGTTCAAAAAATTCTTTTAAAATAAACCAGATTTTTTTATGAATCTTGTTGTTTGAAATACAAAATGACAATAGATTTATATAGTGAAATTATTTAAACAGTGTATGCACGTGATCAATGACGTCGAAATTATTGCCAATTGCAGTTTGTAAGAAATTAAAATTCGTTTCAAGCTGAGAGCTCATTCTCCTTTTTATTTAACCTTAGTTAAAAAAAGACAGAACACTGTTGGCATTTAACCGAATCGGCCGATAAAATGACATTCAGTTTGGCACTCATGGGTTATGTTGCCAAATATTGCTGCAAATCTGCGGTTACTGATTTTAATAATTTGAAATTATTTCTATTTGTGTATCTATAAAATGCTAAAGTCATTGAATAGTCAGAGTCAGAAACTCGTTGTGTCTCTAATTAGTTTCTTTGAACAGGAACGAGATAATGGGGGCCCCTTTTTGCCATTAAATAGCGTTAGGTGAAGTATAAAAATTTTTACTAGACATGGTATGTCAAAGTAAAACGAAAGTTAATAGCGGCAACATTGCGACGTGCTTATGTCATTAATTTTGATCACGTGCATACACTGTTTAATTAATTTCACTATATAACATAGTGTTAAAGTCCGACAAATACCATTTTAAAGTCACGTGATATTGGTGGCAAAAAACGTATGTTCAGTGATTATGTCGTTGATATCACCTACAAAAAGCTACTGGTGGTTAATTACTATTGAATTTTAGGATTTCTTCCCACTAGCATTTTACAAACGCGTTTCTGAAGTAGTACATAACCAATCAGATGGAAATTTTAATACTTGCAATTGTTGCGAGACTCACTTTTGTCGCATCTGCTGTCCATTGTAATGCATTCTGAACTTGAATTGGGTACCCGTTTTCTATTTGCTTCTTTTCGAGTTGGAAAAAGGTTAATATAGTCGAAATTATTAGCTGCGTTTGTTCGTTGTATCATTTTCGAAAATAACTTTGACAAACTAATTGAAGACACTGGCGGATTCTATTTCAGGTAAGAATATTATGAATAATAATTAGACACCAATTTTTTTTTCAATTTTACTATCACCACTGTGTAAGATGTATTCAACAAGGATAGAGAAAAATCACGTGACTTTAAAATGGCATTTGTTGGACTTTACTGAGTTATTTTTTTAATTTTTTTTAAATTATTTATATACTTATAATTATTGTTGTAAATTTATGGAAATGGGTATGCTAAGGTTCAAATTCAGATTGTTTTGTGTTTTCTAGTACTTTCTATGACTTCTTACTATTTTGTTTTGATATTTGAATGCTGTCTGCATAATTGATTGGAATCAGAAGAAAAGTCTGCGCACAAGTCCGTCAGGACTTCAGCAGAAACGTTCTTACTTATTTTCCGGTTTCTAATTACAGAAGATTGTCTATAATTTTTTTTTTATTTGAATTTGGGTAGGTATGTACTAGTTTTATGTATGCATCTGTGTAATAGATAAAAAAAACAACTGTATCCAAATTTAAAGTTTGGGTTCTGTATCACTGAAAGAGGGAAGAGGAAGGATAACTCTGCACACAAGTCCTAGACATGGACTTCAGCAGAACACTTCTTTCTGTTTATTTGTGGAGCATAGCCGAGAAAGCCTAGAAATTTTACGTAAAGAGTACTTACTTATTTTGTTTTATTTGATTATACCTATTTAATTATTGTACTTTACTTACTTATAAGTATGTAATTATTTTTGTAAGGGGGAATTGATGGAAATAAATTAATAATTTAATAAAATAGAATAGCTGAGCTGATTGCTCTTCAACCAAGTCTTCAACTTTGCCAGGCAAAATTGTTTGTGTTTTCCAGATGTTCCTTATGAGATTTTAAAGAGTTGCCTGTGCGGAACATATCGGTATAGAACACTGTCTTGTAGGTTTAAGGTATAATAATTTTAGTATTATGTAAAGACAAATATTTATTTTTCAGTTATAAACCAAAAAAAATACAAAATTCTAAAAAAGTGGACTGAAATATTCATACACAAATCTATTTAGATAGATAGGTATATAGAAACAATAGAAAAAAATCCCTTCCATGTCCAAGTCCCTGAAAACAACCTGGGTGGACACGTCAGTCATATATGACTGGCAGAAAATATATAATAATATAATCACAATCACATTGGTCGGCCAGTAATTGACCGACCAATAGGATTAGAGATTAGTATTTTTTTTTTGTAGACAGTTACCAGTAAGACTAGTAGAGTAAAAGTTTATTTGAAAATCAATAAACTGGACTGGCCCTCTCGGTGAGTTTATTTGTTGTTGTATCAGTTGATGATAATAGGTTTGTTCCAACCTGTTACAAAACCACTCTGTATACGAATTTCAGTTTCTACATAAAAATTTTAGGATTTGCGCAGAATCCTGACGAGAGAGAATATTACGGTTTCCTGCTGGGTTGGAACAAAGCTATTATTAGTCCTAATAGACACGTGCTAGGAATATGACAAATGGGCTCTTTCACTAAAATTTAAATACGTAATTCAAGTATAAAATCCCAAAGGAGGGACTATTTTAGGCATATATACCAAAAAAAAATGTTCTACAAGGTTAAATAAGTTTTTTACAGGCATTTTAAACTACCAAAATTTGAATTAATTAAAAACGCGCCGATTTGCTGACGTCGCATAAATATTTTTCATTTCGCTTGTTGTTGCAAAGAGCTGTCCGCCTCGGCTGTATTTACCCTGTAGTAAATGCAGGTAAAGGTTCGAATGCGCTGTTGTCGGTGGTGACTAAATGTAGTGCAACGTAAAATAAATGAATAAAACTAAACATAAAAAATTATATTAAATTGTGTTTAAGCATAATTTCAATAAAAATGTTATAAAATCGTGAATCCATAACTAATTAATTTAACTACTTTTCATGATATTTTGCGAACATTTCAGAATTAAATCTATTACAAATTTTCAGTGTTGACAATTAGTGGCAACACGGTCAAATTGCGAGCTGCGACGTCATAGAAATAAATTCTGGGTTTTTATTTGGAGGTATTTCTTTTTTTTCTGTTTTCTCAAGAAGGACTATGAATTTTTCAAAAGTAAAAATACAGAAAATTCTGTTTTTAGTTGCTTTATCCAAATATGCCACTTTCAAAAATTAGTGAAAGAGCCCATTATGATATTTTTGAGGCAGATACATGGATGCAACCAAGAATGAGCAAGATTTTAGTCAGATTGATAAATAAATCAATGAATAAAAATATCAAATTTAAACACACTTGAAAAAGTTTGTCATAGATCGAGTCATAGATATAAGTAGGTACTACATAAAAAATACCAGTTTGCTCTGTTGTGTATTAAACAATAAATAAATAAATAAATAAATAATTACTAAAACTGCCGTCTCCTTGGCTAAAGCCGATATTTGTGCACTTGCTGCCATAATAAAAATGCGGAATTTAAACGAGTTCAACAATTATACCATCCTTTATTTTTTTATAACATAGTAAAGGACGAAAATTGTTTCAAGGTAGTAAGTTGTGTAATGATTCACTTATGAGAAATGCGGCATCATCGCAATTTCTGGGAAAGTGACGTTACTTTCCTATCTTGCGTTTTCACAGCAGTTTAAAAATTCGATTTTCAAATCATTTTATTTTCAAAAATAAGAGTTTTTTTCTGGAAAAAAATATACAGACGTTATTACAATGACGAACAGAATAATTTGAAAATGTTATTGAAAAATGTGAAAGTGGCCTTCTTAGGTATTTAAGTTATGGCTTGTGAAATTTAGGTACCTAGATCGTAAAATTTTGGACAAATTGAAATATAGGTTATTATAGTTATTTATGTATCAAGGGAATTATGAGGGTGTTAATACCCCAGGGCAACGTTTGTGTCCCGAGGGCCTCTGGCCCGAGGGACACCAATTGCCCGTGGGTATTAACACCTGATAATTCCCGTGGTACATAGATAATTTTATATCCTACTGAATTTAGTGTATTCTGGCTATTTTTATAAAGGAATAAACCATAAACCAAAATTTCTATTTTTTCTCAAAGTTTTACCTATTCAAGGTAAAAGCGGGAGTCATGGAAATCCTTAACTCCCTTGGGAGTTATGATATCCTTAACTCCCGCGCGGGAGTTATGAAATCCTTAACTCCCTTAGGAGTTAAGACCCTGTTTATGACTATCGTAACCAAGGTATTATATGGTTATAATAGTACAGTAGGATATAAAAGTTTTTATTTCCTACTGAACTATTATAACCATATTGTGGCGTTCGCCAGGTTGTCAAGAATCTTTGGCATTGCCACTTGAATATTCTAGAATCTAGCGAATTATTCTAGTTTAATAGGGAAAATAAGATTTTCGTGTGTATTCCAGATTTTACAGGAATAGATTTAGGAATATATAAGAAGGCCGGCATTGGTTTGTAAGTGTAAGTTAAGTTAAAGTTTGACTGTGATGTGATTTAAATAGTGATTATTGTTTGTAAAGAGTTTAATTGTTGAGTTAGTTATTAAAGTAATTAGTGTCAGAGTGTATTACGTGGAATAAATTATTGCTGTGTTAATTGGACTTTGATTTTTGGAATAAACGAAAGGAACCCAAGATTTCTGTCAGGCAACCTAAAGCCGTGACAATATAATACCTTGGTTACGATAATCATAAACAGGGTCTTAACTCCCAAGGGAGTTGAGGATTTCATAACGTCCGCGCGGGAGTTAAGGATATCATAACTCCCAAGGGAGTTAAGGATTTCTATAACTCCTGCTTTTACCTTGAATAGGTAAAACTTTGAGAAAAAATAGAAATTTTGATTTATGGTTTATTCCTTTATAAAAATGGACAAAATACAGTAGGAAATAAAATTATCTATGTACCACGGGAATTATCAGGTGTTAATACCCACGGGCAATTGGAGTCCCTCGGGCCAAAGGCCCTCGGGACATAAACTTTGCCCTGGGGTATTAACACCCTCATAATTCCCTTGATACATAAATAACGGGATAAATAACTATTGCAAAACTATCATCTCATCTCATCTAGTGACTTATCTCTTTACTTTTCTTCAATTGCTGAATAGTTTTAAGTTTTCTGTTGAATTCTTGAAGTGAGATGGTTTATAAGAATTTTATTTTGTTTCCTGATTTAAATATGAAAAATAAAAATACAAACAAGTTTTACCTCATAATCATAGGTAGAAGGTCCCAGATAATCCTAAAAGAAGGAACGAAATTGGGGGTCCGTGGTTCTGGGTATTCATGATCTAAGTTCACTTTGAACCCATATTTTGGAACTGCAATCTTCTCCTTTGAGTCCTTTTTATTGCTATTATCACCTTTCATGTTATTATTGTGAAATTGAACTTTGAAGAATTCTCATTAACGTTTTCTCGAGCGTTTTCTATTAAATTACCTAAGTAGTTTTCAATAATCTCTCACTGTTGTTGGTTTTTGTTGAGTTGAGTGCACAGGTTGAGTGTTTGCTTTTTGCTTGTTTTGAAAACATAACCCCACAATCTAGAGAAGGGCTTATCGATACGGAGAACCTATCTATTGCACGATCGATAGTATACTACTTGCACTCACTCGATAAGTTTTTTTAACAATCGATATAAGTTGTATTCCTTTCACCTTTCATAGGATTAGGAGGAGCTCCGGAACAGCTCCGGGGCGTTACGCGCTTATTCCTTTCGAAAAGTGTTTGTTGCACCTGAGTCTGAGTGCTCAAGCCCGACTCAAACCATTTACCTTGCGTTCGGTATTTTGCTCAAAGAGCAGAACGTGCTGAGCGGAGCCGTAATCTCGTGACCAGCGAGCGAACGGAGCAGTTGAACGATGTATCAGAGAGCCAAAAATATTAAAAAACGAACGCGAATGAGCCGGCACCGAGTACACTATTTAAATAAACAAATGGTCAATTCAAGCTCGGAGAACTCAGATCAAAATACCGAACGCACGGTTAAATGCATGAAAGCCAGCGCCTCTGTTACTTTCAAATCGGGGTCAACTAGCACCGGAGCGAGTAGCTCTAATGTTTCAAGCTCTTGAACGGAATACAACTTGTATTTGATGGTAAACGACATATTCTATCCGAGTCTGCGATATTTTGTGTGTTCTCACAGAAATCACAAACTAATCAAAGCGGTTTTGATTGGTGCGAATCGCCAACAAACAGTTTTCTGACTATTTTCAACCAATAAAATTCGCTCTGACTGGTTTGTGAGAAGAACAGACCCAGTTGTCATAGGACGTGAACTCTGGGGTGCGTTCGAAATCACCCTGGGCATCACACCGAGTGCACACACCAGCCATGAGCCGCTTTCCAGTATGGGAGTGTGACGCCCGGAGCTACTCGAGTACTCGGGGCGTGGAGCCCCCGAGCTGTACGTACGCGTCAACCTATCAGCTGTCACATCCGTAGGTGGCTATTGATCTATTTATTTCTTGTTATATCTCAAGATTGAACATTTTAAAAAATATAGTTTTGATTCTCTTTCATTTTTGATAAATAAAAAAACAAACTACAAACAAACAGATAATTATTTTTAAAATTTGACACTAAGACAGGCGTCTCACGCCATGATACTGGAATCTCTATGACTGGAACGGTACAAATCTAGTGCGTGGCGCCCCCGAGGTGCTCTAGAGCGCGCCAATGTGCATACTGGAAAGCGGCTATGAATAATTCATAGCTGGAGTGCGTTCGAAATCACCCTGGGCGTCACACCGTCACACCGAGTGTAAACCAGCCATGAATAATTCATTGCCGGTGTGCACTCGGTGTGACGCCCAGGGTGATTTCGAACGCACTCCAGAAGTTACACTGATATGACAGTGACAGTATTGACACTGATGTCAGATGTGTGAAGTGGCATTCGCGCTTGCATCAACAATCAACAACAAACATGGCGGGTAAATAATTAATATTTCTTGCAATTTAAATTCGATTTTTCAATTAATTCTATTTTAGATCTCTCTAAAGTATCATGTACTTATTGCCAGGAAGATATAAACACAGTCCCTATACAGTGCTGCGAATGCCCCAATTTCTATATCTGCATTCAGGTAAAGTATTGGTTGCCAGAGCGATTCTCAGATTTGTATTTATTTTCTAATTTTACTTTGTATTTGCAGTGTTTCGTAGTTGGAGCTGAAATTGGCCCGCACAAAAATGACCATTCATATAAATTTAAGGTAAGTGAGAAGCGGGGTGTAGTCTTTCCTTTAGGCTTACTTGGGGGGTCGTTTGTCGTTAGTTTAGGATGTACACTTGTTACTATTTGTGTTACTATTCAACAAGTTTATCATATCAATTCTAAACGTCCAAGGCTTCCTAGAAGTCCCAAGAAACCCTAGAAGAAACCTCAACGAGCGACTAAAGATTCCATCCTAAATCATTTGGTAGTTTTCATTTTTTGTGTTGTAATTGTCACAGGTAGATAGGATACCTATTATCATCAACTCTATTCCCATTCCCCAATAATGACATATTTTATCTTGGATTTTACTATACTGGACACTGGGAATAAAACTATACCTTTCAACTTATTGGGATTAGTCAATTTTAATTTGGAAAGCTTGAATTTCAAAATGGGAATAAACAATAAGTGACACATTTTCAGCCGACAGTGTAAGTTGACAGGCAAGGCGTTTCCTAGACTATTCTCAGAAGGGTATTCACAATGTAATCCACATGTGCGTGCCATCTCATATGCTGGTCAAAATAGATACCTAAATATTTAGTTTTGTCTTTTTGTGTTACTATAAGCCGTTTGCACCGACCATTTTAAAAGAGGTTTACTTATAATCAACGTTTAAAGTGACACTTTTGCATGTAAAATTGTCACTTTAAACGTTGATTATAATTAAACCTCCCTTAAAATGTTCGGTGCAAATGGCCATATGTTGTTGCATTTGCAGTTTAAAATATCTGTACATGAGTGGTTGTGAAATTCAATACTACGGGTAGGTATTCACATTGTTTACAGAGAATGGCAAATAAAAAGATTTTTGTACATTTAAGGTTAAGTGGTTACTGTCCAGTGTCCATCGGCATCCAGCGTTTTATTATAGTCATGCTCTTCTCAGCTATTTCCAGAGACTTTTGCCAGGTATCAGCCTTTATAAGTACTGCCGTATCATCAGCATAACACAAGATTTTAGCTCTATTATCTAAGAGTTTTTGTGAGAGAGTTCACATATATTAAGAAGAGCAATGGGCCCAAAACTGGTCCTTGTGGAACACCGAACTCTACTAGCTCCTCTTCACTTGAGTTGTCTCCTATTTTTACCTTTTGTACTCTGTTGTTCAAGTATGATTAAAAAAGGTTGAGAACAATACCTCTAATACCGATACGATCTGTGCCGATATGCTCAAGCTCGGATATAAGAATTCGATGATCCACAGTATCAAAGGCTTTTGACAAGTCTAGAAAGATTGCCAAAAGCTTGAAGCCCTCATTTAAAGAAGTAACGATGTGACTGCTTACCTTGTCAATTATTGCATCATTGGTTCCATACCCCTTCCTGAAACTGAAACCAAATTGATTTTTGGATATAAGGTTATATTTTTCAAGGTAGCTCCACAGTTTCTCCTTGATGCACCTCTCAGCAAGCCTATATATATATAGACAAGACACTGGTTAAAGCTATAGGGCAGTAATTGCTAACATTTAACCTGTCTCCAGTCTTAAACACAGGTATCACAACAGCACTTCTATAAATCAAGGGAAATTTTCCTGTTTGGAAGATGGTATTTATCAAGTGCATTAGTGGCTCAATCAGTTTTTCTTTGTGATTTTTGATCATTCTGGTAGACACCTCATCTTCCCCACATGCAGTATTAGTTTTGAGACCACTTAGTTCTTTTAAGAGTTCCCTCTCTGTTATTGGTGCAAGATACATACAGACATCTTCAATCTCCCTATTTTCTTTTGGTTTTTTTCACAAGGTTTTTTCCTACTGAACTTAAATATGAATTGAGTATATTTGCCATGGATTTAGGATCACTCACCACCTCATCCCTCTCATCCTTGATTGCTTTAATTTGTGCTACATTACCTTTTTCATTTTATATGCTGTGAATAATATTCCACATTTTTTTAGGGTCATTAGTATGCTTATCCAAAACGGCTTTATAGCAATGTGTTTTGGTTTTGCTTATGAGCTTGGTAAGCTTGTTTCGATAGTCCCTATATTTATTGAGGGCCTATTGGCTTCCAGGATTACACATGGATATTTTTTGAGCGTGTCTCTTTTCATCACTGAATTTAGGAGCCCCTGCCAAATTGCTGACTCGAATTTCACATGACTTTGAATACGTACTACTTGTTTTCTACCAGAGAGATACGATCTTAACTACCTTAAAAGCCTTCCATGGATCCCTTTCACAGGCAATTTTTGAATTAGTACTTTCTGATTTTCACGATCGAATGCCTTTGAAAAATCGGTGTATAGGCGTGTACATGATGCCCCTCTTTCAGGGCCTCCAAAAAAAAGTCGGTAAATGTGAGCAGGTTATGTTCAGTCGAACGATGCGCAAGAAACCCAAATTGTTTGTCACTAAAACTGCTTCCGAAATTCTTAGCTAGAAAATCACAAACAAGGCTTTCAGAGACTTTAGGCATACAGCTTAGTATACTTATGAGCCTATAGTAATCAACTTGCGCTGTATCTCCTGATTTTAGGATAGGCGTAATAAAGCTAGTTTTCCAGAAAGTTGGAAAGATACCGTTGTCCAAAGACAGATTAAAGGTGAAGTGAAGTGGACAGGCCAGTATAAAGATACATTGTTTCAGAAAACTAGGGGGAATCCCATCTGGGCCTGGACTCTTGCTGATATCTAAGGATGACAGTTTTACATAAATTTCAGATGGGGTAGTATACTATGTATAAAAATCAGTAAAAAAACTGCTCGACATTATTCTATAGGCTTAATGGTGATGGTATAGTGGGATAATAATAATAATAATAAATTTATTCAAACACAATTACAATCAACAACTGTTTTAACTAACATACACAAATAATATTACTTCTACATCTATTTAGCGGCACCTAAGTGAGCAAATCACCTGTATGTGCCCGATATGTTTCCAGCTTACTGGTAATTGAATAGTAAAAGCATGAAACATAAAATAAGAGAAATAAAAAACAACAATTGTTATAATTGTTGTGCTAACTACTTACGATAATAAATTATTTTCCAGCATAATTTCTATAGAATTAGTCAAAGAAAAACAAACTGTAATTTGAACTTAGCGCCACAGCGGCGACCAATAGTATTCAAGCCGCTGACCATCTGGCAACGCTGCTCAAAATGACAGCTGACTTCAACAGTTCAACGATGTGTAGTGTCGTGTGAATCGTGTGACATGTGGCATTGTCACAGTAAGGTCCAGTTGTACAATCTTGGTTCAAAACAGAGTTTAGCTAAACTCGAGTGGTACTTGAACTCCCCCATTTGAAATGCATTGCTGTCAAAATTGATAGAATTTGAATAATAGCTGACAGCAATGTATTTCAAATGGGAAAGCTCAAGTAACAGTCGAGTTCAGTTGAACTTTAATTTGAACCGAGATTGTACAACTGGGCCTAACTTGTCTACATTGTTTGATGTAGTAAAGGACCCCGCACATTTCTTATGGAAAAGTGATCTATGTGGAATTTTGCTGAATTTTTGATATTGTGTATAGGGAGTCGTCCTTAACAAAAGTGATCATTGCGCTAATGTTCAATACCCAACAGTTTTCAAGATATCAATTAAAAACTTTTTTAATTTGATACTCTTCACTTTTCCATAAGAAATGTGCGGGGTCCTTTGACGTTTCGGTCTTGATGGTTAATGTCAGTGCAAATTGTGCGTTCTCAAAACCGTGACGTGTTGCCAGATTGAAAAAACTAACTACGTCACGAACTTTTATTTTCACGAAGGGGCGGGACTAAGAGGAAATTTAAAAAAATATATTCCAGGCTATTGCGGTTTTTACAAAGCAACTGATTGTACTAAATAGTACGATACGTCGAGTATATCACTATGTAGTAGTTAAAAATCACTTGTATACTACCCCATTGTCAATCTTTCAATTTTTTTATGTAGAAAAGGCTTGTGTTGCCAACATAGTTACTAAATTTTTGACTTGGGGAATTATCTTTAAAAAAAAACAGACTTTAGACAAATTAATATGACTGAAAGATGGGACATTGTGTGAAACATCACAGACAGTATCAGAGTACATTTGCGAAAAATACTCAGCTAACAAATTTACAATTTCGCTGATATTATTATAGTACGTTTCAGAAGGAGTATCACAATTTTTCTTTTTACTATTAACGAACTTCCAAAAGTTTTTGACATTAACTCTCAAGGAAGATTCAGTTTGGGCTATATAGCATTGATAACACTGATTCTTAATGATTTTACATCTAGCTCTTAATGCAGAAAATAACTTATAGTCCTTATAAAGTCCATTTGAAACGTATTTTTTGTGTGCTTTTTTCTTTTTGATTATTGTTTCTTTCAAGTCCTGAGAAAACCATGCAGGAAAATTTTTGGCAGAGTACTTTTTTAGAGGAACAAAAAGGTCGACAGTTAAGTACAAAACATCATGAAATACATTGATTATATCGTCTAGGGATTTATTTATGAACAAAGTAATTCCTACTGAATTTACTGTATTTTGTCCATTTTTATAAAAAAATAAACCATAAACTTGGATGGTGACTTCAAAGTTTTCAGTCTGTATGTGTGCATTCTTAACTTCCTCAGTTAGCAGGTTGATTTCATCTTGGGATTCAGAAGTTCTTGAGTGCATATTCGTTTCCAACTCTTGAATCTGCTTGTCTTTCCTCTTTAAAACAGACTTGACTTTTTCATAAACCTTGAGTAGTTTTGTCATACTATGAAGGTCAGTCATTTTACTCTTACAGCTTCCACACAGAAATAAAAGGTTACGCTGTGGAAGAGCGAGGGTATATGCTTCAGTTGTTGTTGATACGAGCATAGTTTTTACATATAATATTTTTACAAGAATCACATGAAGAACCAAACAACACTTCATCCTTTGGTCTAGCTTTGAAGACACAAGCAGTCTTGCATAAAGAACAAACGAGAGTACCCATCCAGCAATAAAGTGGACTCTGCGATAAGATAATAAAAGTATTTTTGTTTATTTTTTGCTAGTCTGCTCACCATTTAACACCGAATATGGCATTGTACACATAAAATCACTAATTGCGACACAAGACAAAATACAGCCCCAATGATACCACAATCACTGGAATTCAGCACAATTTAATCATCAGAATGATACCGAAAATCGCCATTATTTATGGCTAAGATCACATTTAAAGAGTATCACTCCAATACTCTTCCAGATCCTAATAGGATTTGCGTAACAACATGGTATTTGACTTTATTTCTAAACGCTCTATAGCTGCAAGGTCTTTGAAATAAGTTGTCAATTTATTGAAAACTTTAATACCTCTGTATATCAGAGAATTTTGTTTGAAAGTAAAAATGGAAGTATGGAATATTATTAAAATATCTCCTGTGTAGGATTGCATGTGTGTAGTATCCCGAATAGAATCCTTATATTATTGTAGACAAGACTAACTCTCATAAAGACAAGTAAGAGTTAGAATCTTCTCTATTTCAAACAATCGCCTGCGGTGGTTTCTAAGAGCTGCTTAGCAAATATGTCTAACACAACGCTTCTACAAAATAAAGGCTGCTATTTCACAAGTACTGGGTTGCAATTTCCCAAAAAGGCAATTCCATAACGCAAGTCGCAAGTGGGACCCATGCTATGTGATTTTGGCCATTGATTTTCTTAGTTCATAGAAGAATGAATGTGCATACCGAAAAAGTTGATGCTTTCACTAGAGCATATTGTTTGAGTTATCGAATAAAAACTCAAAACTAATAACCTTTGTTTTCTCAACATTTGAACACAAAAAATGTGCATCTCACCATGTCTTTATTCGATGTAGGTACCTAAGTCGTGCGAAACAATTTCATTCAATTCCTTATGGAACCAAATTTGTCTTTCAAGTTCTCAATGCATCAATCCTATCTGGGTTTTTATTTCGTTTCTCTGTTCAGCGTTATCCATTCTATGATTGAAACACAACAAGCGGCATTTAATAGACCTATGGGTATTTGAATTGCTTTTCATTGTTAACAGATAATAATGCCAAGTGGGACAACTGGCACAATGTATAAGTAATTATTTATTTTTCTCAAATCTAGGATAATTGTTCAGTCAGAATATTCGGAGGACGAGGAGCTTGGACTGGACGAGAACACCTTCAATTACTGGACGCCGCCGAACTATATTCGTTTACAAACTGGGAAGGGATAGCTCAACAACTTGAGAATAGAACTGCAGAAGAATGCCGAGAAGAATTTACCGCCCGATATTTGGACGGAAACATTGGGAAAGCGATGTGGTCGAAAATTTCCAAACCTAATATCATCATTGATTTAGTGGAAGACGACGGGCCACTCTCACAAGATGCAATATCTAAACTTGCTCCTCTAGATGCTACACTCGAGGAAGCTAAAATATTAGGATACAAACCACATAGGGATGATTTTGAGAGGGTAATTTTTATTAGATATTGTTTTAATGGATCAGCGAAATGATCTTTTTTCCTTATAATATTGTAAAATTTAAATATTTGTAAAATTTAGGAGTACAATCCAGAAGCTGAACAATTAATAGCAGACATTCCAGAGGAAGACAATGATTACAAAGTTGATAAAGCTCTTAGATTGGCCATCGTTGATATGTACACTAGGAGGCTAAGGGAAAGGCAAAGAAGAAAACGAATAGTGAGAGACTATCAACTAGTTGCCAAATATTTCGATAATTTAAGACGAGATCCTTCACAACCGTTATTTGGCAAAGAACAAAAGTGAGAACATACTTTTTTAGCAACAAAAATAATAATATAAGTATTATTTTTTTTTTGTAGAGAGCTACGTGATAATATGCGTATCTTTGCACAATTCCTCAATGCAGGAGAGCACGAGCGGTTTATAGCAAGCATTGAACGGGAAAGGGAACTTAGGCATCGCCTATCTGAATTATTAAGATACAGAAGCCTAGGAATGACTACTCAAGAAGAAATTGTGCATTATGAGCAGCACGTTGCCTATCAGAAACAGCAAATTAGACATGGGAAGACTGTAAGTTCTTTTTGGTTTAAATTTTATGTATTTTGCTTTGACTGGCAAAAAAATCTGGGACTTATTTTAAATTGTGGATTATTTGGACTTGTTAAAAGTTGACTTTTTTGGGTATTAAAATATATCTATTGCACATTATTACATAAGAGTTGCATAACTTTTTTTTTTAGTTTAAAAAACCAGTAGAACCTGCAATTTCAAGGATTTAAGTAATATAGTTAAGATTTTTTTGCTGGTCTGATAATATTTTTCTGCTTTTCTCATCTTAATGTCTTAACATAATGTATATTGATTTCTTTTCTAGTTCTTTTTGTTTTGTCATTTACATCATCTCATTTTAAATGTGCTGTCAGATTCTCGAAATTGTAGTTTTCACAAAAAATAAAGTGTTGAAATTAAAATTGGATTTGAGAGCCCATTTAAAATTATCATTATTGTCATTGGTAGGCTGGCAGAGGCAGCCAAAGTCGAAATCGATTGTATCAGTTGGCATTTTACTTAGGGCAGCAGTGGCTTTGCGATGGGAATACAGGGCCTCAATCAGTCTCTGTCATCAGAAAACGGGTGAGTGTATATTTTGAAACACACTAAAAATTAGTTGTACTTATTGGAACATAAATCAAGCAAAAATTGCTAGATGCAATGTTATTGAGAAAGCTGTACTTAGATATAAATCAATGTAATGAAAAGTCTTGAATTTAGACATATGTAAACTAATCATAAATATCAATAATTATCAAAAAGCTAATATAATTCGTTGTTTTTCTTTAGAAACGTCGAAGCCGTATCAAGTTTCATAGACGGAAGAACCACGTGGCCGTCCGAAAGCGATTCAGGGTGCGACAACGGGGCGGCGCTGCCAGGAAGGGCGGAAGAGTTCTTGATAGATCCGGTGGCAGTGGCACCGATAACGCCCAGTTGGACGATGACGGTAACCCAAACGGTATCGTCGCAGATGAGGAGTAGCAGTGCAAATCCGTCTTGGTTGAATTTACGCCTGTTGCCTTTTGGCAAGTGGCTGAGTAAACAGGAGATACAGGTTAGCACTTCATAATAATAAGAAATTGCAATTTTTCAAAAGTTTCACGACTCGGAAAAGATATTTAAATTAAATATACAAAATTGAAGTAGCTCAAACGTGTTTAAATTGCGACTCTTGAGAATTTGCATTTTTCTTATGGTAAAAGTTTTGTTGATTTGTTGCTTTAGGTGTCGTTAAAGATTGATAAAAAAATATCCATATTGTGAAGTAAAATTTATACCCTTTTCTGTTCTCGTTTTTTTGTGAAAACACTGCAAACCGTTATAAATTCGAATGTTAACTATGTTTGCAAAGGTGTTATTTGTCTAGTCTAGTGGGTATGTGCTCAACAAAGCTCAAATTTTCATCGAACATTACACCTAAATCTTTGACTTTAGAAACATAAGAGAGAGTAACATTATTTAAAAAATAAGATGTGTCACTAACCCAAACTTTTTCTCACCCTTGAAAAAGCTGATGTGACAGCATTTATTAACATTCAGATTGAGCTTGTTTTCAGTGCACCAGTTTGATAATCTGTCGAGATCCTCTTGCAGACGTTTTTGATCATCTAAACTATTTATTACCTTTTATACTTTAAAATCGTCTGCAAATAAGTTAAAAAGCAAGGGAGAACAGTGCCCCCCTTGTAGAACACTTGAAGTGACATAGAGTCAGAAAGGGAAGAACCAATTTTGACCTTCTGCTGATGGCCCGACAGAAAACTACTGGCCCACGTGACAGCCCTTTTGCTTAAACCTATGCTGAAAAGCTCCCTCAAGAGTGTGTGGTGGTCTACACGATCAAATGCTTTGGAAAAATCTGTATACAAACTATCTACTTGTTTAAAGTTTTCCAAAGCGGTAAGTATTCTATTTTGATAAAGAAACAAATTTGACGTTGTAGACCGACCAGCACAAAAGCCATGTTGGTTTTCATTTATTATATTCTGACATATCCACTTAAGCCAGCGGTTCCCAACCGGTGGGTCGCGACCCCTAAGGGGGTCGCATACGGTTTTTGGAGGGGTCGCAATGCCAATATATACAGGGTGGTTCATTTAGCCTGAGACAGTCTAATATGTCGAAAACGGCGCGTTTAAAAAAAAGAGTTCAAATAAAAGTTGAAAGAGTCAAAAATCATTGCTATCATTTTCTTTTCCCCGTGACACCATAGCTTCTATTTGTTTTTTTTTTTCAAAAACGCGTCGTTTTCGAGATAGATTATCGCAAGTTAAATGGACCACCGTGTATATTTTTCTGCATTTGGCAACACGCATTGGCCTTCGCCTCAAAAGCCGCGTGGCGTTTCTTGGGCGCTGGGCGCTGCAGTAGTAAGGAACCTTAGCCTCGTTAGATGTTGCCGACGTTCCTGATGAAGTACAGGATCAATTTTTAGAGCTGAGAAATGATCCCACAGCACCGGCCCTATTTCAGCAGAAATTCTTGACTTAATTTTAATGTGCCATGCATAGTTCATATCCTTATGTCGACCTCCTTGAGCTTTCTTTTCGGATACTAATACCATTTGCCTCTAACTACCTTCGTGAAAGTGGGGTTTTCAACCCTTTTGTGAATTAGAACAAAGGCCAGAAATAGACTGGGTGTTCAAGATGTCGAGACTTGTTACGGGGATGCAAGCTCAGTCATCACATTAACAAAATAAAAATTCAATTTTTGTATTTAGATTTCTCGAATAAATGAAATTTTGTTTTTTATTTATTAATGGGTAGGAGGGTCGCGACCTTATGAACAAATCTGTAGAAGGGTCGTGACTAAAAAAAGGTTGGGAACCACTGACTTAAGCTGATCAGACAAAGTTTTTTAAAAGCATATTTGGAACACCATCAGGTCCTATGGAGTTTCTATTTGGCAGCTTTTGAATTTTAACAGAGATGTCTCCTATAGATATGTGTGCAATATCAAAATGTTTTATTGGTGTATTGTCACAACTGCCTGCTTTACCGGGGTGACATTGGGGGTTTGTAGCTTTGGGGGTTGATGGAGGGAAACTCGCTCAGGTCATATAAAAAATATAGATATATATTTTCCCAAATATGCCCTTACATGTACGCTAATCCTATAAGATGCATGACCCTTCGAACACTGGGGTCCTTATAGGGGGCCACACGTCAACGCTGCTTGGGGGACTGTAGGTAGTTTATCGTCACTCTTATGCCTTGTCCAGAGGGGCGTTCCCAATGAGAGATAATTGCACTGGACAACGATAAGGCTGAAGATACCCAGAGGGGCTTTCCCAACGAGAGGTTCTTGCACTAAGGAGACTTAATTCCAGAGGGGCTTTTCCAACAAGAGGTACTTGCACTGGTTTAAGTCTGCCTTTGCTGCGGCTTGCAACGCAATTTATATCAATTTATTGCTGAATTGCAATAAACATCCGATCGAATCGGCAATTGAATTAATAAGGTTAATACCGGGTCCTCCTTTCCTAAGCAGCTAGTTGACAGTATTATGATAAACTATTGAATCTATATCTTGCCCATTTTCTGCAAACTGATCATTATAATGCATAGTGATGTAAAATTCCCGAAACATTCAAAAGCCGCGAACATTCTCGGAAACTTTCCGGGAATATTGGAAACTTTCGGGAACTTATGGAAATATTGTTTTTTTTTTCAATTTATAGCTAAATCGGACAAATCGTAGTAAGCTTCATTTACCTAATTGTAGTGTACTGACTATAGACTATAAACCAAGAAAAACGACTATTTTTTTCTGTAAGATCAGCTAAAAATTAAACTATGTAGCAAAAACACTTTTATCGAGGGTTGAATAAGGCTTCAAAGGAAAAGCTGATCCGATTAACCCAATTTCTCAGCTCTTTATTTTTTTCTTCAATGGAGATTATTTCAAAAAAAGACAAACCTTAGGCATTAGGCTGTAGGTATATCAGCTGGTGATCGGGTAAATCGGATCAGTGTTTCGGTAAAGACAGTTGGACTGGGTACGTCATCCACATAAAGTGAAATAAAGTCACTGAGACCTTGTATTCGCAATAATCTCGCATTATAAAGTTCTTCTGGAAAGTTTTTGGAAATATTCTCGAAAGTTCTTGGAAATATTCTCAAAAGTTCTCGGAAATATTCTTTTGAGAGTTTTTGATTAAAAGTTTCCGGGAATATTCTCATTCAGGAGAACGTTTCCATTTTTTATCGGCGAATATTCTCGGAAATTTCCCAATGTTCGCGAATTTTCGCATGGGAATATTCTCGACTCACATCACTAATAATGCATACATTGTGGAAAGCCATAAGAAGGTTTCAAATCCCTTATAAAAACCAAAAATGCTTTGGATTCAGCTTAACATTGTCAGCATTTTTGAGATATTCACTCCAACATGTTTCTCTGATCCTCATACACTCCGAACGCAATTTCGCAAATTTTTGATATTAGTCACCGTTTAATTTGGAACAACTATAAGCTCTATGTGCAGTTTTTTTTTGAATAGTAAAACTACGACGCTGCTGTGAAAACCGTTCAGGAAATGTGCAGATGTGATATTTTTTTAATGGTACAAAATAAGCAATTCCCATCTTGAGAATTTCATAAAATTAGTTCATAGCTAAGTTGATCATTCTGAGAAAGAATCTGCTCTCAATTTATCCCTGCAAAAAAGTTATTAAACCCCAAAAAATCAGCATGTTTGAATTCATAGTAAAAATCTTGTAAATAAAGGCTTTTAGAATCTTTAATTTTCTTTGTATTCATACTACATTTATAGCTCATATGATGTACACTGCTATCAAAAATAGGATCGCTGGATAAGCTAATAGTTACAGTATTATCATTTGAAAACATTAATTCTAAGCAAACATTCCTACCATTTGGAATGACAATCAATTGTCACTCGCCCCCCTTGAGTATAGCAGTCACATAGGCAGACTTCCTGAAACTGTCCAGAGCTTAGATATAGTTAAAATAGGCTACTAAGTGGAAATGTCAAGGTTGGACACAGTTTTATACGGAAATTGGAGATATGTCTTCTGGTCCTGTTACTTTTTTCTCGTCTAGTCCAGCTTCTGGAGCGCAATGTCGCAATAATTAATCTTGATATTAGAAAGGACAATGTCATTGCTAGAAAAACGTAATGGGTTAATAGTGATTGCGGAATCAGAAACCGTGGATATAGAATGACATTTTGATTTTAGGATCAGTAGAATCAACTTTATTGAAAGTCATTTTTGCAGGGTAACCGGCTGTGTTACGTTGTATGAGTAAAACGCTTTGGTGTTGTTCAAATTATTATTTTGAGCAGTTTGGACGAAGGAATCGTATAGTCCCTCTGCGATCTGATAGGCCAGGGTAGATAATTTTTCTCGTAACATAAAATTTAACAGCAAATTATCGATGCAGTATTGTTAAGGATCATTTATAGATGCTAAAAACCAAAAATGCAACATCTAATTACTTTTAGTGGATTTTATAAACAATATTTAGTGCAAAAATTGGGCTTTTTTTTTGTTTATTCCACTGTATTTCGAAAACTTTAAAATGAGCCATCATACAAGCCTGATTTTTTCTACGAGCGTGCGGGAAATGGCTCTTCCCGCACGATTTGCTGTGCGGGAAGAAATTTCTTCCCGCACTCAGTGCGGGACTGCGAGAAGACTTTGAAATAATCATTGTAGTTTAGGAGGCAGTGACGATTTTCGGTACTTATTTTACCAGTCACGAAACATGGATAGAATTGTAGGGTTAGTAATTCTAAGCAAAATTCATATATATTTAGAGGGGGGGGGGGGGGGTTTCCGATGAGTTGAGGCACAAAATGCGTTAGAGCTTACGAATGTACGGCCCTTTTTTTTCCAGTGATAAAAATAGCTCTACTAATTAGAAGTATACTGAAGTTACGTAAAAAAATAGTGCGGCTTATCTGTGAGTATGGATAAAACGTCTGGCAAGTGAAAAATTGAAGATCCGAAAATCTTCAGCCAGACTAACTTTCCACCGTCTGAGATAAGCCAAATTGCTATGTTCATATACTTTATGTTCTATTGT